TTTTGGATGCAGGATCAAAAGTTGTTTGATATGTCCTGGATGCCGGACCTCAAAGTTTGTGACATACGTATACATGCATTTTCTTCTTTTCCTTGGCTGCAGTTACCTCACCGAAGACCAACTAAAAGGGCCGTCCAGTGTGTCTGCCTATGTCAAGGCTTTGCAAAAGGGCTGCCGATGGGTTGAATGTAAGTTGACAGCAGGGGATAGTTTAAGGGCTGTGACAAATATCTGAATAACGAATATTCTTTTTTTAATTTGAATATTCAAATGCAAAATTCATTGTTTTGTTTTCAAGCAGATTCAAATGAAAAGTGTCAAAATCTTACATCAATTTAAATGGAATAGAATTTTTCAACAGGGCAAGAAGTATTCTTTGTCTCTAAATCATGCTAAATCGTGGCTGGAGATACTCCTAGATGTGAGAAGCTATTATATTGATCACAATGTACAAATGTGTGTCATTGCAACTGATTTTGTATATGTTTGTTCATCAACAATCTGCTGGTCGGTACAACCGAATACTCGGATATTCGATCAAATTGAAAGTTGAATATTTGAATAGTGAATTATTTGAATTCACTCAGCCCTGGGTGATTTGAGAGGATGCAGAAATACTAGCCAGGGCAGGTTTAAGAAAAGGCACATACCGCCAGGTTTATAGCAGAAACAGCCAATACACCAGCACTTTGCCAAAAACTATGACTGGTTCCCACAAAATGAGTCTTGAAGGCTTTTTTTTTCCAGTAATTTTGTTTGCATTCAAAAGAGCAAACAGACCCTGATTTGACAGTTTGACTCAGTTGGACAGCTGAATGGAAACGGACATTGTGAGGATGAAAACAAAAGGAGGGTTTGACTTCCATTGTAGAACATTCCTCTAACCGGTTTACGCTGGTTTTTTGCAAGTGCATACCTGGCCTGGCCTGGGAATATTCCTACTTTTCAACATGAGAATATACCACAAGACAGAATCTGTTAATTGTTTGGTTTGTACAAATAACCACCTTTGTGAATCATCTGTACAAGATGTATTCGATATTGGTGCATGTATTCTGTTTTGCTGTGGCTGTCCTCCCCGTGCTGAAAAGCACCCCCAATTGTCGAAAAAAAGACAGGTGGTTACAAGCGGGTTCTTGCACGCGTTCTGTGTGTACGCAAAGACCATACATGCCCAAGTAAATGAAGTTATGTGTACTCAGCGTCAAACGTGCATATACTTGCGCGCCTCACGGTGCACCTATGCAGTGACTACCAATAAAGCATGCCCTCTAATTCTGTTCTGCTCGGAGCGGAAGTCATCTGAACATGGCTTTACTGTGACGGAATTGCTTTTATTTGTGGAATTTGGGATGTCTTGCATTACAGTGGATTGTTGGGACGGAGGTAACGGGGAGCCGATCATCTACCATGGCCACACGCTGACGTCGAAGATTTCCTTCAAGGCAGTGATTGAGGCCATCAACCAACATGCGTTTGAGACCTCGCAGTAAGCCTTCCTTTACTTTTTGGGATAAGAGCAAAATGTTTCCAACAAACCATAATGTTGTAGAGCAAACCTGCAGAGATGGAAGACATTTTCTTTTTTTTTAGAGGTGGCAGAAAAACCGTTGGTAAACATTCTTGGTGAAACCATAGCCTTACCATATATGTACATGAAATTACTAGATGATGAGCTGCCAGAGAGACTTTGACGCTGACCTGGGCGCAAACATTATGAATCCGTGTGCGTGTCTGCCGGACCTTTTTGAAATAAGATGGAACAAATTCCAAAAAGTTTACTCTAAATGCAGCCTGGAGGTACATCATCCACGGATGAACACGTTTGCTCTCTGTGATGCAGTGAAAAACTCAGCCAAATTCACCTGCAGCACGTACATGTATGTCTATACATGTATGTGCTTTCTTCAAACAGAGCAAAATGAAATGCCGAATTCCTGATTATGCATTTTAATTTTGTGGCTTGTTTGCAAATACCACCTTTTGGTTGGTTTTCCATTTACCATAAATTTGCTCAAAATGGACATTTGTCCTGTTAATTTCAAATAAGGTTGTATTTTCATTTAGTATTTAGCCGTCATTGTATTATTATCTGGTGTTTTAATGGCTGTGTGGGGTTTTAACACTTTGTGAATTATTCTTACACTTTTGTCCTGATGGCCGGCCATAGTTTTAATAAAAGGAGCCACTTGTAGGAAAACATGACTATGGCGTCAAAGGATTAGGCCCAATACAGATGCAAATCGCTATAGTAAATTTGCACTAAATAATGACTTTTTCACAAGTTCCTGCACCAACGTGGATATCCCCAGCAGGCTTCACTTTACACGTCGAATTTGCACTAAGCAAGTTAATTTAGCTTCACGTCGATTCTGACTGAGTCTAGAGACTAAAATAACCATCTATCAGCCCGGGCGAGATTCAAACTGACGGTCTCAGAGGCAAACAACAAAAAAATATCAATTTCATGTTTCATTTCTCTTTTGAGCACTAGCCATCAGATCTGAAAATAGTTCATATCAGTGAAACGCTATCTACACATGCACATGGTAAGTATGTTGTCCTGTAACTTAAAACTGATTGCCGAAATTGTTACTGCGTCACTGATATGAAGTTCACTATATCATCTTTCAGATTTCCATTACTAGTATCCATAGAGAACCATTGCAGTGTGGAGCAGCAGGAAGTAATGGCACACCATATCAAAACAGTATTTGGAGGTGAGTACCTAGATATCAGCTGGCTGATGATTAGCCCTAACCCCCAAGGCCCTTTTACAAGGAATCATTCTGAATGCTCCGAAATCCTCCGAATTTCAACATGAAAAAATTGCATTTGGCCTAAGTCCTTCAAAATTTCGTGAAAATGTCATTTGGAGGTGTGCCTAACTGCCCAAATCCTTCAAAATCCTCCGGCAATTCCTGTTGTTATGTTGAGGCAGTGCGAATGGCACTCTTGAGCTGTGCAGTGGATTCAAAAGAAATATCGGGCTGAATTTGTACTTGATTTTAGCACAAACAACTTTAGGTCTAATCCATGACCTTTATGTATGGCATCCTTCGAAATCAGACTAACAGTGTGCTGGCATTGTGGAGAGGTACATGTACATGATGGAGTTATGCTTTGACCTCTGCAGATAAATTATGGATCAACTCACCTGACGCTTCCTCTAATTACCTGCCATCGCCAGAACAGCTCAAGGGGAAGATTATTCTGAAGGTAAGTCGTGACTTTGTCACTTTGGCCCAGACTCTAAAGTGCCCATGTATTGTACTGTTGTTCTTTAATTTCGATCAAAATGTATCCTTGCGTTTAATCTTATTTTGTTTGGTTGTTTTGGTAACGGCATTTTGGTATCTTTTTAATCTTTGCCGATGTAAATTTCCATAATAATGAGCAAAATTGTGATGTTATTTCTGAAAGAAATGTTAATGTTACCGTTACATGTATTTCAAGAATAAAGTTTCCAATAATCTGAAATGGTTCATCGTTGATGATTTCTTGATATACATTTATTTATATACATGTATCTATGTTTGATTTATTTTGATTGTTAATAAACTTTTGATTCATTTTTACACACGAGAAACTCCATCCCCCTAAAACTGTCTTCCTGAAAGCAGCAAAATATTAAAAATGTATTTTTCCAAAAATGTCTTAGATTTTTGTGGTGTCATATCTGAAACTACATGTTGTTCTTCTGTATAACTTGTGATGTTGGATTAATTGTAAGTTCAAAATGCTTTGACACATTTTAGAAGCACTGTACCTGTAAGGGTTACAACCAAAAGTGGAAGTACCAATTCAGTCACTTTGAGATTCCCCATCTGCTACTAGGTTCCAATGTCACCAAACATAGATTATGGAAAGACTCACAATATACGTGATAATGCACAAGGCGAGATGGTGTCGCATAGGGCCTGTTGCATTCATGGCGTAACTGAGTTAACTTCCAAACTTACAAATTAAATCCAAAGGTGGATCCAGAATGAAATTTTCACGGGAGGCCAAAAAGGTTTTGGGGATTCAAAAGTTGGAAATGTTTTTCGTGTAACATTTTGTGGCCTGTCTACAAAGTATGTTTCTTTTTTTTTTTACAATTTTTTGGAAGAGTGGGACATGAAATGGATCAATGAAGTCGCCCTTCTCTGCAGTATTTATTTTTCAACCAAAAAATTTCAACTTCTCTTTCGGAGGGCTGTGGCCTGTGCTGTGGCCCCAAATCTGCCTTTGTTCGAAGCAGACGTACATGTAGCAGTTGCTATTACAACATGCCAGTTCAGTATTTCATAAAGGCAGGGTCTTTTGGAAACAAAGCACTTGCACAAATTTGCAAACTCGGCTACACTGAAAGGACAGATCGTTGCAAGCGGTGTTCCTAAATAGCCTCTGTTTGCTTCGGTTTGGGCGTGCCCTGTTAGAATACGGAAAGGGTTCGTTGTTGACACTCCTCCGTTTATCTCTCAGGGGAAGAAGCTGCCTGCCGATTTTGTCGGAGAAGAAGGAGAAGTCACGGATGAAGATGAAGGAGCGGACAGCGAGAGGCGGAGAATTAAGAAGGTCAGTTGCCAAATGAAAAAAAAGTTCATGATGATTGACTGTTATTTTTACTCTCTACCCAAACATTCCGGGGCCAAATGTTTATTTTGACTTGGTCTTTGGTTGGTTTGTTTGTTTGTTTGTTTGTTGGAGTGTTGTGGGTGTTGGGGTGTTTGTTTGTTTGTTGGGTTGTTGGGGTGTTTGTTTGTTTGTTTGTAGAGGGTTATCTTGTCGACTGTTTGAAACATTTTTTTTTTTTTATTTTGGGCAACTGTTACATGTTTTTATTTTTGACGCAGGGTTTTACAAATGTTTTTACCATTGTGTGTCAACTGTACATTGGTTGAAGAGGTCATTCGCAAATCATGATGTAAAAGTTAGTGTACCATACTGGTTAGCTTAGTCAAAACGTGCATAATCCAATTGGACTGAAATTTCCTGGTTGTATGAAGCAATATGTCTTTGAGCCAAATTTTAATAGCAAAATTGACCTAAACTTGGTAGAGTCCAACTCGCGCAGAGTTAACTCTCAGCCATGTTGAGGAATATCGTCCATTTTGCCCGGCCAGTCTTATCCAGGTAGGAATTATGCTATACATTTGATTCAAAGAGTTGTACATGTACCCTTGTATCCATGCTATGCCTGACCTTCTCTGATTGAAATGTCTTACTGTGTTGGCAGGAGGGTTTTAAGAAGCGAACACTCATCAAGAAACTCTCTGATCTGGTCACACTATGCAAATCTGTTCGCTTTGAAGATTTCCATGAGGCTGCCCAGAAACGTAAGTCTCAAAGCCAAGTATAGGAATTTAGGGGTTCAGAACTTGAGATTCGAAGAGGTTTCATCGTTTTCTCACTGAAAAATCTGAATAAATGGGCAAGAATTACCCTTCACGTCAATTTTGAGCTTTCTACTTTTATAAGAAAAGATTACACATGTACACGCCCTCAAAGATGCATCCAAAACAAAGGAGCAATTTGTCCACACAAAAAGTTGCACAGCTCTGATATTTACAGAGGCAAGAACCAGACCACAATGAAAGCATTCAAATTATCAAGCCAAAGCTTAATTTCTTTGGTTTGGTATGACAGAGTGATAATTGAAAAAATAAAAAAAATAAAATTTTTTTAAAAATGTATTAAAAAAATAAATTTTTTTTGAAAAACAAAAAAAAATTGAAAAAATAAAAGAATTGTAAGAATTCTGAGTCGGGTCATGGGAGGTAGATCTGTTCTGTGATGTCGTATATGATATGGCATGGAACGCCCCTCTTTCATAGGTTTATGGTTTTATCCTACCCCTTTTGGCAGAGAAATACTGGGAGATCTGCTCCATGAGCGAGGGCACCGGCATCAAATTTGCCAGGGATTGCGCGGAGGACTTTGTCAACCACAATAAGCACCTGCTGACCCGGATCTACCCAAACCCCAACCGTGTGGACTCCAGTAATTACAACCCTCAGGACTTCTGGAACTGTGGTTGCCAGATTGGTGAGTGTAGAAACTAATCCGATCAGACGCCATAACTGCGGTGGGCGCTGCACTCACACGCACATTCTTCAGCTTGATGGGTGCGCTGGCTACCAGTGGTGAGGAGCAGAGTTGCATGTACAATTGTGTATTGCCATTGGAAATCAGTGGGTACCAGTACACACAAGGGATATATATGTTTTGATGTGAAATAAAAGTGATGTGGGCTGGTTCCTGGTCTATTAATATGTTCCCATCTTCAAATTGAGGTGTAGGAACCGGACTAAAAACGAGACCCCTTTGTGAAATGTTGGGCATGAATTATGATTGGACCATAAACAATGGACATGGGCTGTACAGTTAATTGTTTCTTTATTTATTTGTGTATATTTTTGATGTGTTAATGTTTTTGACAGTTGCCCTGAACTACCAGACCCCGGGGTTGATGACGGACCTTTACGATGGCAAGTTTCGTCAGAATGGCCAATGTGGCTACGTGCTCAAGCCTGGGGTCATGAGAGAAGGTAGGATAGAGTGTCGTTTGATTGGCCTACAGTTGACAAATGCCTCACCCCTCGGAGAACTGGGATATTGTGGACTATCTTTCAGCGGGGGGGGATGTGGTGGTCCGCCCCCTCCAAGAGCTTAGCTGTTGCAAGCCCTATTGTTTTGAAACTTGGTTCGCATCCATCACTTATTGTTAACCACTTGCTGCCGGGGGACCTGTTTTCAAGTACGAAGGCTTTATACACGGAGCCAGGGAGCCCGAAATGGGACAAAGGGAACTGGGCCTTGTAACAAAAGACCGTACTCGGAACAAAAGACCAGGCTGCCGGGCATTACCGTCATTTTTTCACTCTCTAAAGTGGGGATAATCCAGCCTTGTTTTGAAACAGTATAATACAATTTGGGGCATTTAGAGGGAGTGGATTACCATTGCTCTCCACCACCGCAGCGATGAGCCACACAGCACCTCTGCTAGTCTGGCCCCTATTGAAAAGAGGTCAACAGCGCACTGAGCCAGGTTCGTGAACAATAGAAGCTTATATAACACTGCACAATCTGGGCTCTTTTTACAAGGCTACAGGCTTGGCCGAAATGCTCGGACGTCTGTAGATTTTGTCTGTCAGACTAGAGTGGCCACCAGACAGTCATTCGTGTGGGTGTTAACGTCCATTAACTGAAATGATGAATTTTTGAGGAATTTTGAAAACTTAAAATCTTGGAAAAGTCCTGATTATGTGGTTAATACGATTGTGACCTTTCAATTCAGTATGATTTAGGGTTATGATGTTACGGTCACTTAACCCTAATAGTCCCAAATCCTCCAATTTCAATACGATTTTACATACACCCTTGGGGGTTAGGGTTAAAGTTCATCAGCTCAAACGTTTCCACCCCCTGGGCACACACTGGAAAAAGTGTGGATTTTTGACTGACGTGTTTCAGCAAAATATATGCATTGCTTGAGAATGGCTCGTCAAATTTTCACAAAATTGGTGAGAAATTAATGACTGTCCAATCTGTGATCATTGTTTCTGTTTATCCAGAGATATCATATTTCAGTGCCAACTCAAGGGATATCATACCCGGGGTGTCGCCGCAGATCCTACACATCAAGATCATCAGTGGACAGAAGTTCCCAAAGCCAAAGGGCTCAGGCTCCAAGGGAGATGTGAGTTTGTCGGTCTGTCAGACTGTTTGTCTGTCCGTAACTCATAGACCCATACATATATAATCATGTCATGAGTCATTATACGAGAAATGCAGAACTGTTTATTTAGATTGTAAAAAACTGGCTTGGCTGTGAGAGAACTTACAGACGTTTTGCCCAGTTCTGACGATGGAAGACAAACCTTTTCCAAATGGTGGGTAGACCTAAGTCACAACTGTGTAACGAGTGCAGTAATTTTTCAAAGGTACTCCAAGATGTTTAATATAATTGAAACATTGTGCAGTAAAGCAATTTGATGTCAAATGAACCATAAGTACATGACACAGACTTGTGTGCACTAGGAAGTTGTGCAATGTTTTATGGAATCAGCTGCTGTCATCAGTTTCTGTCATATGAAGCTGCCACAGTTGTGCGCATTTCGCTGAAAGTTTGCCATGCCTACCGTGGTCCATTCCCCTGCACCATGCAGTCTTCCCATGAAAGGTGGAGGGCAAAAAGAGATCCCATCAGTAACAGGCTTACGCTCGTCAGAGACTGACCGCTTGACTTTGTTTTGGTAGGTCATTGACCCCTACGTTTCCATGGAGATCTTTGGGATTCCTGCCGACTGTGCTGAAGAACGGACCAAAACCATTCCTCACAACGGTACGGATGCAAATTGTTCCATTCACTTCTGCACCTTTCCAATTCCAGTAGCAAGTAAACTGATACCCATCTGGAAATGAAGACACAGTGGCAAATGTAGGAGAACAACCAACAGAAAACAATATTAGAGTTCCTTCTGAAGATGCCAAGAATATGCCCCTTTGTGCAGAACCAAGAATGCTGGCACATGTAGAGGCGAATACAGTCTGTACACTGAACTAGCCAGACTATTGTGGGCAGGTCAGACCAAGTTGATACGTGAGCAAAAGAAAAACCGGCCTGACATCAACTCTTGATATCCAATCACAGTACACTATTCTGACCTAAGATCATCTTTGGAGAGTGCAAGAAGAGAATATTGCTACCTTTGTAAATTTTTTTTGTTGGGGGGGTCACCACTGAGCACATTTTCTCCACTCATTTTTAGGATTCCAATTTTAAGATTCTTTTCTTTCTTCGTCATCCATCTCTGTCCAGGGTACAACCCCATTTACGATGAAAGCTTTGATTTCACCGTTAACCTCCCCGAGCTGGCTTTGGTGCGATTTGTGGTCCTTGATGATGACTACATAGGGGACGAGTTCATCGGACAGTACACTATTCCATTTGAGTGCTTACAGCCAGGTAATAACCGGAAACAGCCTGCTCACTGCAAAACTTGAACTCATTTCAACCTGTGGCAGTTGTCGCCATCCATTTAGGGCCCATGCCGGGGAAATTAATGCAGTTCTTGTAAATGCTCCTTAGTGTGCATTTTCAGGACAGCTTTGTGTCTTTTTAATTTTGATGCTAATGCAAATTTGCATATTTATGAGAAAACCTGTGATGTCATCAAAGGCGGAAACAGTGTTACAGCTCTTTCTGCTCATAACTTTGCCAGAATTTGGGATATTTTTCCGTTGTCATTTTTGTTTCCTAAGATGATTTAATAATAACAACATTTATAACGCGCACAGAATCTCACAGCATCTGTATTTTAACGGTGTCAATATATTATCCTGTGATGAAGCTGCACACGCTAACCACTCGGCCACATGCCCCCCATATTGTTATTGTTTCAGTCCATGACGGTGAGCCAGTGAGACTTTTCTCACTGGTTCACTGTCACGGTTTCAATTATTTTCAGTGAGCAATTTTTGAGTTCATTTGAACAGAAATCATAGCCTCAGTCTTGTGTGGGGAAAATATCAAAAACTTGACATGATTCAAAAGTGCTCCTTTTATTGAAAGTATTACCAAAAAGAGACGTCAAATAGTTCTCTTTCATAAGAGGAGCAGACAGTTGTACAAAACATGTTCCCATGTAAAACCCCCTTCAGAAACGTACTTGATTGCCTCATTATACCTGTATTCCAGTTTAGTTGTTTTGCCAACATCAACCTTAACATCGCTTTGAGCTGGAAAGTATTGAAAAGTGCCTCATATTCACGCAGTATTTTATTTTCTCACTTTGAATCTTTCCAGTGCACAGGTTCGTGTTGTTGATTTTTTTTCCCGATTTTCATAGCATCATACTTATTTGTTTGCCATTCCAGGCTACAGGCACTTCACCTTGCTGTCCAACACTGGGGAATCCATTGAGCCGGCATCGTTGTTTGTCCACGTCGCCGTCACGAACAAACGTGGAGGCGGGGTAAGCATTGCTTCTCCAGAAGAGGGCTCAGGGTAGAATCGAACATCCCCTGCCGAACAGTTTCATCAGTATCATCGCAAGGCATTTTTTTTTGTATCATGCTGAGCCTTCAGGAGGTTTTCACTGATATCTCACAGTCGTTTCAATACCCGGTTTATGCAAACAGGGCACACCGATCCCATTCTTGTATGTAGTGATGGATCAAACAGGGCACACCGATTCCATTCTTGTATGTAGTGATGGATCAAACAGGGCACACCGATTCCATTCTTGTATGTAGTGATGGATCAAACAGGGCACACCGATTTCATTCTTGTATGTAGTGATGGATATTACGTTGGGTGTAATAGTGTGAAGCAGAACGGCATACCTGTGTACCCGACCGCTGATGTCAGGAAGCATTTTACTCGTAATCAAATCTTCAAAAATATGTAGCAGCTTTCGGACAATGAGAAGGGTTTAGACAGGTATTTCGTGAAAATTTTTAAAAAGACGAACTAAGTCTTCATAGAACGCGGAGATTTATTTCACTTTTTTGTGCAGTGGTTATTGATGAACATTGTTATGAAAGACAAAGTTCTTTATGTACACTTGTGTTTGGAGTCTCATGTAGGTTTCTTTTTAGGGAGCCCAGCTTATCTGGTGCTTTTTGCCACCCTTAAAAGTACATGACAGGTGAATACTTTCTAAGATATTCCAAAACATGTTTATTGTGTCAGCTAGCATCACATGAAAATGAGTCCAGCGCAAGAATGAGAAAACCTAACTTTAATTATGACGGACGTAGAATAAATGAAGGATCTTTTTCTGTATGTATTAGTCTAGAAAAACTGTACCGTGAAAGAAGCTGTTGACTAAAATTTTAAATTTCAAATGTTTGCCCCCCCCAGAAACCAACAAAGCGTGGTATGTCTGTCAAGAAGTCCAAGCGGACGAGGGATTACACCCATGTCAGGCCAGTTGGAGTGAAAGCAATTGATGAGGTCTTCAAGGTGCGATGTTAGAGTTATATCTGTGTTTAGAGTAGGTACATGTGTAGCTCGTCTATTTACGTAGACTAGTGGTAACAGAAAGCAAAGTGATATAATAATACTGTATTATATGTTACATTTTAGCCAGAAATGTGCTCCGTAGCAAATTGCGTTTTTGACTTTCCATAAAAACAGCAGTGCAATCAAAGGAGACATCACAACTGCAGAGGTGCCACAATCAAGCGTATTCTTGCACTTGACGCTTACATCCGTTTGGCTATTAAATTAAGACTCCCTATTGGTCAAATTGGCATGTAATGTGTGTATGCCATTTGTCAGGAACCTCTGTTGCTAAGGAAATAGTGCCCTCTCTTGGTCCAGCTCAGGGCTTATAAATGTAGCCCCCGTTAGGAAGAATGTAAGATTGGCCAAAGAATGCTGCTTCAGCACAGTATCTTTGAGAGATAGCTGAGGTTTCACCTTTGACCTCCCCCCAGGCCTCCCTGGTACCCCTCAAAGAAGGCAGCGAGCTAAGGGAGAACGTCCAAAACGCCATGACGCGTTTCAAGGAAGCCTGCGGTCTAGCATCCATCGCCAACCTTAAGCAGTGCATACGGCTCCTGGCCACCAGACTAGCTGGGTCCTCAGACACCGTGACGTTACGCCTCTCCATGAGGGAGGAGCTTGCATTCCTGGAGGCGGAAGGGAGTGCCCCCGACATGCTAAAGAAGGCATTAACTGCCTTTGAATCGGTAAAACAACCAGGGTTGTAATACGCATTCTGTCTCGAGCCTGTTTAAAGTTACAGTCCATCAGTTGCAGTTTTCCAAAAAGTAGCTGACAAAATTATTGTTCAAAAGATGGTCATGGGATTAAACTCCTGACAAGCCGTCATTTGAAGAAAACGAAATAAGTCGTATGTCTAACGATATGTCTCAGCATGCATTGTCCCGGCATGGAAAATTTCCATTAGAAGTGTGCATTAGCATTTACATAATACACACACGTGCATGGTTCTCTAATTTGTTGGTCCATTGTCTGACATCGTAGCCACATTTCACTGAACATGAGAACATGTCCCAGATGCTGAATTCATTTACAATTCAAAGCGTAACTCAGAAAGTCTTGATCTGAAATTGAAATCCCAGAATATTGTTAATTGGAATGTGCAGTATTCACTGAGCTGAAACTTCATCGGTTTTGTTCGTCGACACCCTCCTTTAGATTTTGACTGATGTTGTATCAAAAGAAGACAATCCACAAATAGCAAATGATAGGCTTTGCCTCTGAGATCAGGTCACTTTTGCTGTATCACAAAATCTTGGGAAATGTTACTTGCAAAAAACCCCATCTTTCACCCGATTCATTGCTCAAAGTATAAACATGCATGCTCAGACAAAAAATGTCATAATGATAAGAATTTCTTTCCTGTAAAGACCACTTTTGACAGTTTAGAGTAGAAAATAATAGCAAATGGTATTTTTTTCTTGTAGATGGTGTCAGAAAGCAAAACCTTGATGGAGCAAGCAGACAGTCTGGTGGTCCGCATTGACGAAGTGCAGAAAGCTGGACTGGAGTATCACGTAAGGCCTTTGCTCATTGTCTGTCGATGCCTTCTCCCCACATTTGATGCACTAATGTAATTTCTTTCTATGCTGAAAGGATTCCCTTGCATGCTGAAGAGAGCGAACGTTGACTCATCAACTGTGTTCAATTTGTTTTACCATACTTCAGACATAGACATTTTCATTGAACGTTGAAATTTCAGGAGCAGCACAAATATGTATACTGACATCCGTCATTCCGTAGGGTGTAGTAGAGCGTATCTAGGGCTACGGTATGCTTGCTACTTCACTTGCGTGAGGGTATTTGACTTGCGCTCGGATTATCACTCGTGCGCCTGGTAAACAGCAACAAGAGCAACTGGCACGCGAGGGCGAATGACCAGTGAGAGATTGATCCCTGTGTGACAAAAGGATGGAATGTCTCTCAAACATTCAGCCAGAAGCTATTATTGAAGTTGAATAGTTTTCTCCACGTTTCAATCATGCGTTCATTTATCTGCGTTTCAGGACAATCTGAGTTATCTCCTTACCAAAGACGGGCTGAAGGGAAAACGACTTTCAAAGGTGGGCTCCTTAAGTTACTAATCATTTAACTTTGTCTACATGCTGCACTCTCACCTTGACATGGAATTATTTGCATCATGGATGTTAGAATTAGTCATACTGCACACATAGTCAGTCAATCAGTCATGGCTACTTAATGCTTATTTTCAATGTGTAAACCTTTAAGTATCTTGGTTAACAGCCACTTAATTTAACTACATTTCCATGATTTGAAATATTAATAGTCTAATATCCAGCGTGTCCTCCTTTATTTCTGATTACTTAGACTGGCTTTTTCCCCCATGCTGCCCTACAGACAAAAGTTATACAAGATCTGTCTTTGCAAAAAATTTATTCAAATGGGTATATAACACTTCTCTTGATGTTATGCACCACTGTAAAATCATGTTAAGTAATCATTTAATGAGACAATGTAATGCAGGCCAAGTGACAAAAGTACTAGTAAAATTTCAGGTGGTCTTAAACTTTTGCATATGACTGTAATGTATCTGAGAATGGGTGATCCAAGTTCTAGCTGACCACATCATCACAGGATGCATGACAGTGTTGTGTTTTTAATCGGTAAATCACTGTCACTTTGTCGCCATAATGAGATTACATGCAGGCAGATTCCATTTGAGCTCTTCCATGTCACCTTCTCATGTGTTCTGTTTCACGTTACTTCTCTTCAGGCATCTGAGAACTTTGCCTGGAACATCAGGGTTTTGAAGGGTCAGGCTGACTTGCTGTCACGCTCCAAGAAGGAATGCCAAGACTGGATGAGACAGGTAGGTGGTCAGACACTAAGCTCAGGGGGCCAGGGAAAGGCCAGAGGTCACTTGCATTGGGATTTACAAATGTCCTTTCACACATTTGGATTTTGCTCATCCATTTGGATGGTACAGTTCACAATGTGAGCACCATAGGCACAGTCTTAGTTCAGGATGATTACGGCGTGTCAAAAAAGTCGGTTCCTAGTGGCATTTTGACAAATGTGAAGATGGGGTACATCTTTTAGTATTTCCCTAATAAATAGCAGAGAACAAGGAAAAACCTTTTCTCAATATGTATTTTGGGGGATTTAGCGTGGAGCCTCATGGCCAATTTAAGAAACCAGTCATTGGACACCAACATTCAAAAAGTAAGGAATTAAGGGTCGATTACAGACTCCTTGAAATATCAAAATTTTACACATTTAAAGCTTCTAGTTGGGAGTGGTGTACTGTGTTTGCTGTCGTTTGTTTGAGGGATAAATGATTCCAAAAATGTTCAAGTTTTACCACAGTTGTTGAAGATGGTGTAAACCTGCAAGCAATTTCTGAAAGACACTACTTTCAATAAATGCTTTACGTGAAAATGCTTAGAAACATTCTTGGACAACTACAAGAATTACAACCTGCATTATAAGACAATTCAGCTGGTCTTTGAGGCCCACCGTACATGTATGCAAACGCTTTCAAATGCCATGAAACATGCCCCAACTTCCTGGATCTAGCCAGCTGTAAAAGAGAAGCTTTCTCTAGATATCGGTAGAGTGGGGCTCATCTTGTTTCCTCTTTCTGTTTTTTTTAACCAGATCAAGGAAGCCGGCACTGCCCTTGGTCTCATGTCACTAGAGCCATCGACTGAACCCGAGTCAGACGCTGTGTTTGTACCAGAGACAGACCCTGAGCATTCCAGCGGAGCTGAAAGCTGATAATCGCCTTGACGACATCTTATCTTTACTTTTCTGTTCTGTAGACACAATTTCCGTGGGAGTGTTTCTCAAGGTTGTAACAAATGCCAGCAACATACTGATTCTTAGGGGTAGTAATGCCCAATTCAGCATAGAACCTGTGTCCGTCTAACAAGCAGTGTGCCGAACGAGATAGATACTGTATCTTGTACATTTTGAATATATGTTGGTCATAATAAGACGATGAATCTCTCGTGGAGGGAGTCGTGTCGGTTTTCTCTTTTTTATCCCGCTAAAAACAACATTGTATGTATGTTTTGTGAATTTGTATGCAGGTTAAACCATTCCCACATCTGCCGTTTCATGTTGGCTGCCGATGGCATCTTCTTAATTCTTCACGGCCGCTTTTGTGTCTTGTCGCAGAAGACCATCTGGATGTTTTTTCTTCTTTATAAAAACCCTCGCGCGTATTTGCTGTAGAATCGAAGCAGAGACTGCAAGTAGCATTGGTTAATATCTTTTTGTAGTTTAAATCGTGGTTAAAAAAAACTGCCATAGGGTAAAGCCTGAAGCGTTGTACTTCAGAGAGTTTTCTGCTTGCTGCAACATGTGAGTTGCAGATGGCTAATATACAAAACCCCCAGTGCCATGGATGCCTGTACATTTACTTTTGCATTCGGCGGTAAGTTTGGTTCTGTTGCTGAGTGTTATGTCAACATTTCTTGGGAATTGACAACTTGAGGAAAGTGATTCAGAAATGTTTGTTTCAAGGTTCGTGTAGGTGAGATGTTCTAAAGCCTATTTCACAGTGTGGGAATGGGACCTTTCCAAATCTGAGATTTTCAATCAGTGTTTTGTTATTTTGACGGGTGACGGCCCGTTCTTAACAATTTGATCATGGGGAACAATGTTCCTATTTGCTGTCTCAATGATATGTTCTGATGGAACCATCACCCACAGTCTTAGTCGTCGTAATAATAATAACAAACAACACACTTATATAAATGACTTTTTTTATCTGCATTTTAAGGGTCACCAGGGTTAACCAATTATTGGTCAGAACTTATGAAAAGCTGCCTCTGTTGATTCACACACTACCCGTGGGGCCCTTGCAGAAACTGCTGGTGACATGACTTTGTCTTGTGTGAAATGGCCCACTCACACAAGTGTGTATTTGCCTGCAACTGGGGACCCCCTATTGTTCCTCTTTTGTTCGTACTTTAACTTTTTTTAGAAGACCCTCCATATGTTTTGTACACAGTTGTCAATCGGGGACCCTCAGTCAATCGGGGACCTTATTGTCCTCTATTGTTCAGGGTTCCCAATTGAATGCAGAAACAAACTCACCTCAACTTTGATCCCCCTCATCAGGGGTACCTGATACTCCAGAAATGCTACTGATTTCATTAAATCTGTGCATGAAGTTACATTATGCATTGCACGTTTTCCATGCCAGTATTTAACAGATTTTTACCACTTAGCACAGATAGTGAATATCTTGGGGGCATCGGCAAGAATCGTCAGCAGATGACAGATTGAATGTTTTACGCTTTGGGGCAAAGCCCATTGGAATATGAAACTTAAATGAAATTATTCTTTCTTAGCACAAATATGAAACTTTCTCAGTGCTCGAAATAATCCCTCATTGTGTGCAAATCCAGCATACAATTGGAACAGTAAGTCTAACCATTAAAATTTGTGTTCCAACAAACATTCCTGTGTGTTGTGCAGACTGTTTTGGCAGCATGCATGTATTTGTTTCTCTTTTAGAAGGAGCTCCACAGTCATTCTTCATCTTAAAGGAGGAACCGGTCTCCATTCATTGATGTCCACTGTTGGGTGTGGAAAGTCACACAGTAGCATCAACAGTAAGGCAACCCTGTAAAACCTGTAACAAATGGTCAGTGGTCAGTAGAATTAATAATTAAGTTATATTCTCTGGCCGACCTACCAATGAAACGCAGGGGATTTATACTTGGGAGATGTATTAAACTGCATAGCGAACAGATGAAATATGTTTGCAGTGTGACGATACGTCTGACTCATTCATGGGTTTATCATTACAGGGAGTGTTTGCACCAAAAAGCCCAGTGCATGGTCTATGCACACTTAGCAACATCACTACATAATTTTCCTTTTATATCCTTTGAAATGTTTGTCTTCATTCTTTTAACCCGTCTCTTTTCCAAGTCGATTGTCTAGTTGTCAGATTTCCTTGGAAAAGGTTTTTTTTTTTAATAACTCTCAGAAGTTAACAATGGCATTTAGAGGTGTTGTTTTATTCGGTCTAGTTTTACCCATGTTTTAATGGTCCTGCATGTAGTAAAACACAGGTTTTCCAGTTCGAAAAGGTATTTTTGTTCTTAGATAGGGTTGCATTTGCTGTAGCACAGGGTAATGTGACTTCAATTATGTAGTTAAAAATGTAATCACCTTTGGGAAATAATTTCATTGTTCATGTTGTGTTTCAACAAGTGATTTGTTTTGAATTGAAATGTAGAAATTCTAAATGATACCTTGCCTATTTTCAGCCAAACTATTGCGTAGATTGCCAATAATTAAATGAGAGGTTAGTATGTGGTATTTGGTAGAGTCGTTAGCACTGGGACTACCCCTGAAAGTTTTCAAGATCTGTGCGATCAACCTGCTGCTAATAGGAACATTGAATCCTTCTGGCAAGCAAACGTGTTTGATGTTGAACAGCTGGTAAAAGACATGCAGTAATTTATTTTTAATATTTCCCCATACAGTCCTGCCATCTTCGTTTGCCCCAATACCTAGTATGCAGTTTTACTAATAACAGTATTTTTGAATGGACTTCGACTGTACAGTTGAAGCCAATGCTTTGTTTTCTTAGTTTCTTGCAAATTGTTCAGAACTTTTCCATCAGAGCTTTGCGACCAATTATGCCTGCTGAAGTCCACAATGAATTTAATCTAAGTTAAAAACATGCCAAATGTTTGCATGTTTTTGGCCGAGTTTTGCTTATTGGATTAGTGTGAATCCATACCGTAATTCTCATATGTTTGTATTTTTTTCTCCTATTTTTAATACTGCAAAAGAGTATGTTCCATTGATTCCAATACCTTTGTATTTATTTTGTTTTGTAGTTGACCCCGATATTTTATTTGTATTTTGATATCCCTTCTTATTTTGCATTGACGTCATGCATTTAGAATTTATATTGTACAGACGTTTGCTGCCTCAACCTTGCTGATTAAGACTAATGATTGCCAGTTTCACACGTTTGTACCAATGTAATCACAAGTGATGTGATCGGCCAGTTAATTGTTTAAATGATTTTGACATGTGAATCAGTATTTTTGTTGATATGGTGCAATGTATCCCACAATAATTGCAATTATTATAGACATTTAAACACCTTGCCATGAGTTGGTTATTGAGATTATACCTTGGTGCTGAACGTGCTCAGAACCAATTACGGATGTGGTCATACCGAATGGGCATGGCCATGCCCATAGTATGATGACATTTACACAGAGGCGTGGGTGGCAGGTGACATGGGTGTGCCTGCTTATGCATAGGAATAGTTAAGGGTGTGGTCAAATAGCACATGTAACATTCGCAGTGTGAACAATATGCTAATTGCGTGTGGTCACACCCACACGCGTAAGGCGGGGTCAGGTCCCCTTGGACAGAGTCAATATTTTCCAATGAATTCTAGTACAAAGCACAAAACATTTATAATTTAGGAAGGATGTCACTTGAGTGGAAATAACCGTACATGTATATGTAGCACTATCTCCTCATCACTGTCTTTGTAAACTTTGCAACACTTAGAAAAATGAGGGAAAGAGATTGCAGTGTATTTCTGAGATTACAAAACAAAACTATGGTACTGTTATTAGGCATTGTAGATGAGAGTTAAATATTGAAGTTAACCTTTTTTCTTTTCTTTTCCTTTTTAAAAAAAATTGTTCCCCCCATTTTATTTCCCAAAATCCAATCCCAAGAGCCTATTTCACTTTAATAAATCTTTACTTTGTGGCAAAAGGAATTGCTGGCGAAAATGCAATAATTCTTTATTGTCCGTGATGCGGCGCAGGCAAGCAGCTGCTTAACAGTGGCGTGAACTACGCGTGCAAAATGCACTAACTATGCTTTATTTGCAACACACACTTGATGTGCTCAACCTGTGGCATGCACAGTTGAAAGTTTTGGGCCACTTGTGTGTCACAAACACATTGAAACCGTCTGACTCTTTGCCAAAGTATACATACCCTGTGTATGCTTATCGGTGTTCAGCAATGTTATCTCTGAAAAGTACGGTGTTCAGCTAAAAACCACGTAAGTTCACATGCATTACTTCAGATTTTTACTTGAAAGAATATCTTTGAAGCAGGGTAGCTGGTGCAAATTAGGAAGTAGCATACAAAAGTACTTTTATCACTTCTTGGAATTTTCGTAGTGTACATTTCTGTGGAGAAAACATAACTATCGAGAAAAATACCGTAAAAAGGTGCAGATAATATCAAGAAAATACTGAACCAAATCATAGTACTGCTCTAGTCAAATATTCTAGACTACTATATGTAAAAATTGAAAGTAATATAAGAACCCAAAGGTTGTTTATATAACGGTTTGTTTTTCCTTGTATATATTGCCTGATGGAATGAACACTATAAAAATTTAATTACTTTAGGACTAAAAGTGTGACTATGAAGACACATTCTATGCGTAAAGTGTGCACACAGTGTTGGTTTTTATGTGCAGTAATAATTAATAACAATGGCTGATGTAAGCAACACACACCTTATGAGAATAAAGAATTTCAGAATAGATTGTATGTCTGTGGCACCATTCTTTACTCCAAGTGTTTGCATGGGTTCGTGTTAAGATTGTCTAACAAGTCATATCTGCCATAATGTTACCACTTACCAGTGGGCATTGTTGTGACCTGCTCTGCAAAAATTAGTCACACGTCGCCAGGGCCACTTTTCAGTTAAAAGGCCTTTGAAAGAATGTTGGGTTGTGTTTAAGTAATACTAATCCTCAACATTTTGACATGTACACAACATCTATTTTATCATACCCTGCACTCAACCTACCCGAACAGTTGCTAAATATGCAAATTTACATGGCGTAAATTAAATTCCAGGCAGCCCTATACGGGAAAGGCCTTCGCAAACTAACCGGTGGCCACAACGGATCGAAGGACAAACACAAGAACAATTTCTCGTCCTCCTCTTGCCCCCGGCTCCACATCAGTCAAATCCTGCTCTGCCCTCTTCTCAACTCTCGCAGGCAGTGCTGGAAGATGCAGACCCGAAGGCAACGTCGACGCTGCCTCTTTTCTCTTGGGTCTGACGCCAATGACTACATCACTCCTCAAGTGACCTCAGTGCCCGTACATACAGGTACTACCTACAGTGGTAAGGTTCTAGCAGACACCTGCTCGGTCAGCTGAATACCTGTGTCTGCCCTTTCGGCTGCCCACTCAGATTCATGCCTGCCCCTTCGTTCGGCCCAACTCAACAATCGATAATTATTACATGTGCATGGGGTTCCTTCTAGAGTAATCAACCCCTGTCAGATTCAAGCCAGGCTTTGTTGGTGGATCTGAAATTGTTGTACATTCCAGTCCACCCAAGGGAATACAAGTTCCTCTACTTGATCTACGTGAGAGGAACTTCAGAGCTCCGCCCCTGTCACTCTGTCAGTGTCCTGGGAGTCGTTACCTCGACAATTTGTGACCGCCTACTCTCACCAGCTAGCACTACCACAATCGAACACATAGGCAACTGGCCCTTCGTAGGCAGATGTAAAGTTGAAACTGGAGCTTACTTTGGCATCACATCATAAGCTATTACCAGCCATCCTGGAGTCTGAAAGTCTCGTGACTCCTGTCCTTATACATTATCCAATTTAACTAAGTTCGGCTCACGTCCTCCGCCCGGGCCTTTTTCACACGAGCTCATCTTCGGCCTGAGATCGAGCCTGGTCTGCGTCTGGTTCCTCTTTGTCACCTTTTGAGATCCCACCTACTAACGTTCCCCTTGCCCAAATGTGACTCAATTGTCTTCCTTCCATACCTGATAGACCTCATCCAGTAACGCCTCTTGTTGGCAGAAGGATGAACCCTTAACTTTTGATTTCTACTGGCCCTTTCCGTATTTCACGGAGAACTTCAATTCCCAATTTTTCTGATTTCAGGAACAAGAGTACTTTGGTTATCACATAGGTTGTCGTTTCATCAGATAAATCACCAATGAGGTACGCACTCACGTTTCCTCCAGAAAAGACATATGTTCCTAGAGCTTTGGCCTCCGGTCTGGACCCGAAGATAACCCATATCCCGAAGCCAGCACCCATCCACCCCCTTACAGATAGATGTCTACTCTCAGAGAAAGATTCACCTAGTGGAAACAGACTCTGCATCGCATCGTAACTGAGTCAGTCTTTAGATATACTTGACAATCTAATACTGAACCCCCACCCTCCTGCCTCTACAGAAAACACTTAGGCCCTATTTGCTGATTTTATGCACCAGACCTCCCTCACTTATGGGTCGGGGTGATAGACGCGATCATTTTTCCTTTTCAGCTATTCAGCAGGGTAGAGTTGCTCGTCTATTTACTCATCCTCGTTACCTCTGATCCCGGCATTTCTGCCAGACTAGAATTGGACATGATAGACATCTTCTTTTCATGCCATTCAGGCCATTCAAACCCTGGTGCCTCGCTTATCCAGGCTTCTGGCATACAATAATCATTTTTCTGTTTCATGCTGTGATGAGCAGGGTGTGTTTCCAGTTAAGACACCGCTGAAGGCAGTAGCCGATTCTTCACTTTTATGTAACTCGGAACTGCAGTCAGCAATCGCGCAGAGCTACTGCCTGCGTTCACAGCTACCCAATGTGCTTCCTCCGTCGACTCTCCTGGCATGTTAACTCAGTGTCCGTTCCACCCGGTATACCCGGTTGGGAACCGTTGTGTGTCGTTGAGCCCTTCCAAGGTCCTCCTCGGAGTCCTGCGTAGAGGCCTCATCACTACACATATCGGTGAGGCCGGCTTTTCTATACTTCCAGTAACTACTTCGTTCCTGGACTGTGGCCTGCTGATGGTATCCATTTTTCATGGTTCCTCTGAGTAGTAATAACACGGTGTCCATCTCATCCACGCCATCGACTACTGTTCAAACCTTATTCAGTTTCATCCCTCTGACAAGACAACTTCGTCTTGACGTCATAGAGTACTCTTGTTCTCACGATGACAAGTCTCGCTGTCTTGCCCCTAATCCTCGTAATGATTTCTGTTCAGGACTCTAAGCTGAGAGGTATATGATTCTTCTCCTGCCATTTCCCTGATACACTTCACCTCAGCCTGGTAGTAGTTGGGTTTCCACGGCTTTTAGGTTCACCTGTCCCGAATGGCTGACCTTCACAGACTTCAATCCCAGCCACCCTATAGTGATTCATATCGATAGGTTGGTATATTTTGCCAACATCCTTTGGTAGTGCCCTTCGGAAGTTATATGCACGGCAAAATGCAAGAAAACTCTATGGCCTCTTACCTCTCGCTGACGTAATAAAGTGTTGCAACGAGTTCTTTCCTCGTGTGTCCATGCTCACTGCCCTCTACACCGAGAATACGGGGACCCATACTTTGTGAGCTACCTCCAGCTCTACACCGTATCCAATGGTCTCCTCCTTTCTACGGTAGACTCTCATCATTCCACAGTCTCACAGTTTCAGTGCGTCCTCGTCTACCCTCCTCTGATCCTGGGTACGGTGCTACTCTGCATATTTAGCGACTGTTGGGTAGCAGTGTGGGAAGAGTCTGCTAATGAATGCCTAGCCAAACAGTCCCGGCCCTCCCGTCCTCCCCACTCTGGCTCGGACCTCGTGCTCCAAAAAAGAGATAAACATAGCGGCGGCGCCGCTATGCACCATGGGCTTAGAGGGCGTACTACGGTTGCTCAAGTTTTTAGCGAATAGAATCAGACAGAAAGGAATTTGCATATTTAGCGACTGTTTGGGTAGGTATTCATTAGCAGACTCCTCCCACACTGCTGTGGGGGAGGAAACTGAGTGACACATCACAAAGAGCTCAAATTCCTCAATCTAATAAACACATTAAAACTCAAAAATGGCTCCGGTGACTTGAGATTCATATTCAGAATGGGTCACATACAATGTGTTGTTTTCTGTGAGTTTCACAGAGGATGGTCAAGCATGAGCCGATGTTCAAGCATGAGCCGATGTACGTATATTTACAGCGGAGGGTAACCGGTTTTAGAGACCGTCAAATTTCCCATTCATTTGTACACACACACATCGATGGAGGTGACCCATGTAACATTGACCTCAAACTTCATCCCTGCACTGATCAAGAACTTTCCACCAATTTGGTTGCTGTGACCCTCTGATATGGGCCTCTCTCCTCATCCCTGCCATGTCAGCATCTTTCGGTTTATTTCGACCTCCATCTCTGGCTTTCCCTGTCAGAATCAAATGACGATTTTTTAACCCTAACCCTCATGAGACAAATGGATGCCTTTTTCAGCATAGATTGGTGTTGTGTTGAACTTGAACTGCATCCCTTTTAAGGGGGACTGTTTTTAAAAAATGAAGCCTTCAAGCAACTTGGTTTCCGTTTTCAGTTCACCCAATGAAATTCCAACAAAAATTCTTCCCAGTTTAAGAATGATTATTAACACATCTTTATTTTGTATACAGACAGGATAAAGAAAAAAACCTATTTACATTGTAAAACAAGTAACATGAATGGACAAATGAAACAAATTCTATAGTGTAACTGTAAATGAACCAAAATTTGAAATGGCTTAGAAGTTAGAGATTTCATGAGAGACGTTGAACTTCCGTAATATCCCAGAGGCACAAACAAGTAAAAAGGTCACCTGATTTAAATCATGTGATTTAAGTCACATGATCACATAAATTTTATCTACATGTACAGGCTTGTGCTCTTTTCCCACCATCAAAGGAGCAGTCTAAATAATTACATGTAGGCAAATATGATGGCATAATTCACTAGTTTTTCCTGAATAGAGAAATTCATATAACAGTGCGCCACCAAGAGGTTGCCGAAGAGAGGCCATTTTCAAGTTTGAGGTTGACAAATGCATGACGCCTCACTGTGATCTACATGTGAACATACGGGAAAACTTTTGATAGAGAAATTCTGTGTATTAAACAGAAAGAACAACAAATTAATTAAAATTGCTTCTCAAAAAACTGAGGAATTTTCCTCCCTAACAATAATTGGAGTTCTCCGTGCAGCTGGCGAATAAAATTTGTCTACATTTCCCACAATGCAATGCAAAAAACGGCTTCTCCATGGCTACCTCTTGGTGGCACACTCTACTGTGAATCATACTAAACATGCTTTTTTATGCAAGAAATGAGTTCTTAGAGTAGACTGGGTTTGAAATTCCATATTACCTTACCACATGAGTGTCTATGTTGAAATGCAATACGGTCAATGTCAATTTTGAAGAGTTGGTTTATTGTATGGGTGTGATGTCAATTGGTGGGAAAGAATTTTAGTTGGGCCATTGGCTCTTACATCAAGGAGCCACCCAGTGAACTTGAGCATCTGTAGGCAAATTAGTTGATAGCTGGGGTCATCTGAGACTTAATTCAAATGCAGGAGGGAGTATTGTTGCAGTCGGTAAGCTTGCTGAGAGGGTGCGCCGACCATAGGGGATGGGGGCTGCATCTATTCATCAAACAGCTCCTTGGAACTTGACTCCAGCAAGGGTGTGAGAACTCCAGCATAGGGCCCTCTCTCACTGACTCACATGGCCTGATGTACGTCCACCATTGTCACAGGCAAGGACTTCAGTGCTGTGCATGGTACTTAGGTATCGGGCAAGCCTTCAAAGCTAAATGATAAATGTATGAGAATAACTTGGAGGCAGCATCCAATACTGGATCAGCATGATAACGCCAGTCTTACATGACCGTTTTGCCGTTTGATAAAGAATCCACGGCTCTTTTTCATGAAAATAAGCCCGACCAGTTTACAACCGACCGGTATAGTTGCTAATCAATGCTTGCCTACTGCAGTGGTAGCCGATCGTGGGGAAACCGTGCAGTCAACGTTTCTTTGATGTCTTTAGATCAGACCTAGGTAGATCGATCCTAACGCTGCTGCTCCATCCACCGGTCGAATAGAAATTGCCTAAAATGAAGGAGTCTGTGTTTAGGGTAGGGACGTGGTGGGCAGGGTTTAGGCAAGGCACGCCTCTGTTCATCATTTGGGTCCTTGGAATTCTCCTTTGGCCAGGTCTTTCATCTTGGGGAATTTGACCTTCTTGGCATCCAGCTGCTCTTGAGACCACAGGAGGAGTTTGAGGAGGTTGGCCAGCTTGGGCACCGACTCGCGGCTTTCGGCTTCCAGAATGGCTGAGTTGAGCTCGCTAGCGACCTGGTAGCAGAGTGGAGAGACAGAGTGAGAACTGGAAGCCACCGTAGGGCAATTACAAAACCAGTGCTAAACAGTATGTCAACTACATGTGATTCATATTGTGGGTTTGTTTCCAGGTTAAGATCCAACTTTCACTCAAGCATAATTTGCAAACTTTACAATGATATTATAATTATTTTTTTAACGCTTTTCATGTCTCAAGCACTACAAAGCCCTGTACAATAAACATGATAAAAACAAATTCACAGATTGTGAAAAATTGGAAATAAAAACTGTCATAAAACGAAGGAAAGAAAAGAGAAGGAAAGCGAAGGAAAGTTAAACCTCACAATTAACTGATCAAAAGAAATGCTTTAAAAACGAGTCTTTCAGTTGGTTTTCAAATCTCCAAAGAATCAGATGCTGGCGGTAGCCTATTCCACAGATGCAGGGGGGCACATGCTGTGGATTATGGATCATCATTGTATTTAGTTTCACCGAGTGCCTGCTTTAAACAACTACATAAGAGATTGTAAAGCACAGAGTGCACAACTTGATTTAACGCATAGTAGTTGACACAGATGACCTGGAGCTAGTCCTCTTGTCAATCTTGCAAACAAGGTACGAAGCTTTAAATTCCGCATGCTTATTTACTGTTGGAACCAAGTGAACGGGTAAAGAGCTTGACGTTTCCGTAGCAAAAAACTGAATATGCAATGCCCATGACGGCCCTTAATCAGAGGATTAAATTCATGGATATGGAGTACGAAACAAAAGTTGGAGATCAAATCCAGGTCTGGACATCAACTGCAATCTGATCAGAGGAAACTGGATCCACCTTTCGAGGCATAACAATTTTCTAGGGGTAATTTGTAAGTGTGATTTTCCAGCAACAGAGGGTTATTCCTTTCGGAAAGGTTGAGTTTGAATCTGCGAAGGTTTTCACGTAATAAAACCTGGTGCTGTTGTCGCGTCCATCGCAAACCCGTTCAAGTCGTCCAGGTCAATCACACGTCCACCACAAACCATACACTCACAAGTCACACTGCACGTAATTCAAATGAACGGTGACTAAAATGATCCCTTCATCACCATTCGTCCTGTTACTTGTTACTGGTCTTATCAAAGGACTGGTGACCAGACTTACAATGGGCTCATGCGTAACACTGAAAAACTGCAAAAATGAGTCTAGGTACCTGCTTCTTCCAGTCAGGTATCCGGATATCCTGGTACCCATCGCTACCCTAATCCAACATCTACCCACCTTCTGTCTCTGTGATGGATGCAAGAGGTCGGCAAAGGGTGACGTCTCTGGGTTCTCAAACACCAAGAGGGCTAGTGTCCTCTCCAGTTCAGGCAAGATTTCGGCATTCTCCTCTCCTCGCTCTGCTAAATGCGTCTGAGCGTACTCCAGAGCTGACTCCAGCTGACCGTTCCTGATAAGTTCAATCAGGTATTGTTGCTGTGGAACAAGAGCAAGGGGGCGAATTGTGTTAAGCAAAGACTCTCTTGCTCAGCAAGAACAGGTTTCCAGCTTAAGGAATTTTCATCCATACAATCACTTTTCAAGATAAGCAATCTGTCTCTTGTGACACACGATACAAAGAAATGGACAAAATTACCTGGCAAATTTCTTGTCAAACTCTTCTCAAAATGTGAAATACAACACAAGTGGAGTCAGGTTGGTTTTTGTCTTTCTTCCTCGACTTGCACACTGCGGCCCTGGTTCGAATCCCGGCCCAGTCCACATGTGGATTGGGTTTTCAGCCCCTACCTGATTCCGTGGGTTTTACCCAGAATATTCCTCTGGGGTTTTCCTCCCACCTCTACAACTGTAACTGCTTCTCACTGTCTTGTCTCTACAGGTTTTTCCAGGCTTACATGTACAAGCTACAGTGCCTGGGGCACTTTTGAAGAATCCTTGGTTTCATAACCAGAAATATTTAATAATAAAAGCGAAATCCTTAATTTTACCCCTGAACTCATGTTTGCCCCACCCCCCAAAATACATGTAGTTCACTGTACTCCATCTAACTAATGTACCACACCACTTACGTGAAGGTACATCTTATCCACTTCAATGTGATCTCCCATTTGAGGCGCAGGTGCAGTATGTTTAAATGAACACATTCCAAAAAAAGACACACCTGCATCTCTGCATGCCTGTTTCTAACGACGCTGGCAGGGCTTGAAGTTTTGAAAATTTTATTAACTATCCCCTTTTATCAGCACAGCACACCGTGGCACGAAATTGCCCAAAATATGAAAAAGACAAACCTGTAGGTGGAAATAAAGATATCTGTCGTTATCCAGGAGCTCTGGGTGGATGTCGTTGACCAGTGCGATGGCTTCCTCTATCCTGCCCTCCTGAATAGCTTCTCGGATCTGTATCCTCTCGCTCATGGAGTCCAAGCTCGTGGCCGGTTGCGTCCCTGACTCCTGCTGAAACTTCTCTGCTGCATCCTTGAAGCCCTCTGTAAGTGGGAAAAAGGCGACGCAAATGACTAATGAATATTTCGGTGAACACTGAATCGCATAAATTGGATTTGAACCTCAGAAATTTGAGGTACAAAAGAGTAGCAACTAAGTTGAAGTTTACCTGAAGGGTGTACTACATTTTTGTTTAACGAAGCAAAACACTTGGGGAAAACCTTTTCAAATTGTGACAACTGGTACCGCACATGCACACGCACATACAGGTGTATAGGCTTACATGTAGTTATCAAACCATACAACTCTCACAAGAGATACATGTACATGTATGTGTATATGTCCACATCACCTCATGATAAACTTGTATGCCTTTGCATACTGTTATACAAGTATTCAACACAAATCTACTGAAAACATCCAAAATGACAGAAGTCAGCAACTGCTTTGAAAAAATCATGACCATAGGTAACGACTGGATCAGAGAACACGAGGAGGTCCACTGGTGGGAAGTCAATGCAGGCATGTGCCGGTTTGTGTACGTCCACACAGGACGCACAGCCTTTGCATGTGCACCCAGCGTGTGCTCGAGCACAGATAAAAAACCTCCCACCCAGCCTGTCTCTTCTGCCTCTACTTGGGGTGGATAAGTAACACATGCACATGTAGTTGCTTGGAACTTGGCCAACACTGACCTGTCACCAGGTAGTCCATGATGAGTTTGTTCATGTCGGACCTTGTGATGTGAAGGCTCTGCAGCTTGTCAAGCCAAGCTTCCTGTGTGATCTCTAGGGTCTTAGATGAGGCCTGCATCATGAGAAGCGACTTTGAGATAGCTACACCTGTACATTCATTAACTTGGATACTGACAGATGAATAATCATTGACAATGGACGACTGGTTGATAGGAAGGAGTCTCACCTTCCATCTCCACACCTTTCCAGTTCCATTAACACCACCAAGTTTAAAACATAAAAAGGATTATGGATGGTACCAACAATTTCCACATCCGGTCATCACCTACATGTACATGTAAGGCCTGGTGCATAATAAATTCTAGACAATGACAGGAAAGTCTAGGTACCGCGTATTTGACTTTTTACCATGAAATTAGTGTTTCTTCGTTACATGTAGATCTACCATACACTTTTTTTGGTAGTTTTCAAGTCACACTGAGGAAGATATGTTAAAGTAAGTGGTGGCTAGACAGGAAATCTTTCTGCATTATTCAAGGTCTAAATCCAATGTCATTCATCTGATGTCACAGTGACATCATTAGCATGGAACCAGATGACAATCTGTCACTGTGACAGTATGCAGAATTTCTACATCATGTACACGTACTGTCCTGGTAAGTTCCAGTGACAGGCCCTTCCCCTGCGTATTTGTCTATGCCTATTCATGTCAGTGCTTAGCCCCACTAGTGTGGCACGGACTCTCACTCCCGATCCATCCTTAGCCACACATCCGTATGCGCAATTTTGTGTCGGCGTACTGAACATTTTCGGTGCACCCACTTGATTGAATGGATAAAGGCAAAAAGACTGGAAAATACCTGAATAACGTGAGTGAAATCATTCAATAAATGGTTTTTAGAAAGCAGAAAGGTCAAGAATCATGTTAGTGTGCAAAAGAAATTGCGCCCACAATGATAAGTGGGTGCGCCGAAATGTTCAATACACTGACACGAAATTGCGCATACGGATGTGTGGCTAAGGATGGATCGGGAGTGAGAGTCCGTGCCACACTAGTGGGACTAGTCAGTGCTGTGCTAGAGGAGTATAAAGAATAACTGAGTGACTGCGAGGTCAAGTCATGGGTAAGAAGAGTTCTATAATACGGACATCACGAAGTAAGGGGTCGTCCACTTTTGTCATTTTCACGAGCGTACAAACCGTACGCTCGGGGAGGGCATGAATTGGTTGCGTACGATTTAGAAACATGTCACAACAGGTCATATCGCCCAACTATATCCAAATGTTAAAAAAGGCAATCTGCAGGCAGGTAGGGTCCATTTTACTCGGACTATCACTATGTCCGTATATGGAACTCCCGAATTTATACCGGAAAGAATGCAGGAGAGGCTCACAGATGTGCCTGTACATTGTTGTCAGATTGTAGACCTACATGTATACAGATCATGTCCTACATGTACATATCGATGTACATGTACAAACTACACGTGGGCCTATGCCAATGTCCGGGATTTGGGCAAGAAACGAAAGAGGGTTAGGCCTAACGATATATGACCATGCATAAAATTTTCAATTTTTTTCTCACGCAACTACGGGTGACTCTGAAATCATTGACTCTGACAGATTCTCAGTGAAAGACTCAAAAATATCAACTAACCATACTGGCGAAAAATGCGCTGAAGAAATTGAAGAAAGCCACAATTCTGCCTGGTTTGAGAGCGACAGAAGCTCTCGCCGTATCAGCTGTGTAGGCACGTATAAAAACAAAGAGATTGCCCTCGGTACATAGTCTAGCATGCATAAGCATACAAGGGTGCATAAAAACGGGTGAGGCGGGAACCACGCAGGTCAGCGACAACGGAAGGGGGCGCTCTACAATATTTGGCCTCCAACTTCAGGTTTTCGCGAAGTTCGAGAGCTTTGTCGCTCATAATCGGAACCTCTTGTAAGCTATAAAATGTTAAAGATAGTTCTATAATACTTTTCGTCTGTATTTCGATGGCATTCAGTTCCATACGCTTGTCACACCTTTAAAATATCACCAGTTTGGCAATAGTCTGCAGAGGGTGTCTTAATTGCTGTCAAATATAGTACTGCGCAAATGACAGAAAGATTTATATATAGGGTGCATCCCCATAAGTAAATTCCCATAGACACCAGTGATAAATCCCTATACTACAAAATTATTTTTAAAAATTTAACACCCACAACTCTCACAGGTGCTCTTTCATTTTCCCCTTCCATTTTGATCGGGTTGACCATTGATTTTTTGAGAAATTCTCACTAAAAGTAGGCCACCCTTAAAGCGAAGGAAATTTCCATGCCAAGTATGCCAATCAAGGAAAGTGGCCATTTTGAAATCTCTCTGCAAAACGGCTCAATATGGCAACTTTTGGACCCGGTTGCACCCAAATAGCTCAGATTTGGAAGCCCAAAGTCCAGGCCAGAGGTTCAGTGAGCATGATAGTTTTTGTTTGTTTGTTGTGCTTTGTTTGTTTGTTTGTTTGTTTGTTTGTTTTTCAATTCCCCAATTCCATCTCATGATGACTCTCTGATAGAATATGTTCAGTAGTATTAATGAACTCAGCGGAGGCGGACATAATTGTTTCCGGCCTACCTATTTACAGGAGTGCACTCATGCATAGGGCTTGTGGACAATGAATTCGGGCACATGCGACCTTAATTCACTTTAACAAATATCTATCGCGTCCCTTACAATGTTTTGGGAATGGTCTGAAGTAGAATATTTTTATCATGTAAACATTGACTTCCTAAAATACATTTTGCGGGCAAGCCACATCTTACGGATTTGTTTGCATTGGAATTTTAAATTTCTAAAAAATAACCGTCCAACTATTTTAACCCGTGAAAGAATCCCCATTCTCCTTCCCCTCTCGGGCCCCCCCCCGTAAAAGGAAGGAAGTAGACTGGACGTTTCTATAAATTGCTGTGCTTTCAATGTTTTCTCCTTTTTTCTGGGTTTTAAAGACATAATGTCAAGAGAAGGGCAACTTAACCCCGCCCCTCCCAGTTGTATAAACTACTGCCACTTTATTGTGACTGCAGGCCTAAGGCAAAGAAAGATTTCATGTGTTTCAAAAGATCTTCCTTCTTCATTTGGCCCTGATGCCTGTATGTAGTTCTGATATGCCATGATTTCTTCTAAAAGGCGTTGCCTGTGAATTAATTAAAAACAGACGTTGTGTGTGAAATGAGGTTCGTTTTTCTGCTAAAGGTTTTCTTGAGATCGTTCCCACCCCCCAAAAAAATATCTCAGAAAGCAGCTATTTACTCAAAAACGAAACATTGTGTGCCATTAACCTAACTTAGAAAATCGAAAGTTACCCAGGGTATGTTCTTATATCACAAACCACCAGCAATTCAAAATTCACTGAGTCCATGGGCTTTCGGAAATTTCAGTCCCACCCCCAGAGTCGATCGCCGCCACCGATGTTTTAAACTGTTGGTACGTCTGAAAAGGGAAATAAAGTCTAAAAAACATCGAGACGTACAATTCACCTTAATATGCATTTCAATGTGGAAATAAAGTTTGATTTAACTCTAAAAGATTGATAGAAGTGTTTTCGGAGAATGGAATACAGCATGCAAACTTTCAGCGTGCCACACACCAGCACATTCGGACACACCAGCAGTGTTGTGAGTCAATCGGCCTCATGTCCTTTGGATCATCCTAGTGCAAGAGGGCGTTCAGTGTGCATTGTACCAAATCGTTGTATTTCTGCGCGCGAGCTCATTAATATTTTGTGATCCCACGGGATTTTTACAACAAGACATGCCAAATCAAGAGGGACAATGGAAATATTTCTAAAAGTCCCAAATTTGGGACTGATAGTTTCCAGTTTGAGGTGTTTCTTTCACAAAAAGCCCCAAATTGCGGGCCTATTTTGGATAGAGGTGGGCGGCTACATTTAGAGCTTCAGTACTATTGGGGGGGGGGGGTATCTTCGGGGAAAGGCGAATATAAAAACATGTCGTGCCTAGAAAAGTGATCCTCTGGCCGTAATCTTGAATTTCTAGTGAAAAAACGGAGGCCAACCTTTTCCCGAGAGTCACCAGGTGGCGCTATTGAGGTCTGATATTGCAACAGGACTGTTTTCTATGGACGCGTATTTGGTGCAGTGCAACCTTCAGCGTATCGCATTTACCGCGCGCGCGAGAAATACTCGTTGCGCGTCAACATCGCAAGTTCTTTCCATTCTAGATTTTTTCCTCTACCTACTGCATAAGCGTATGAATCTTTTCGGACGAGCTCTTATCCACAAGTTAAACAACGGTTGGCTTATTTAGTATGTGGAAGATGTGACCCAATAATGGTCAAGATAAGCCTACATCCTGGTGCATGTTTCATCTCCATTGTTATCTCGATCCTCACACAAGGTACAGTAAACTCCTTATTTCCTCCAGGAAAAGTAGCCTATTGTAGCCTGTTTACGAAAGCTATTGGGTCGGTAAGTGCGGTGCAGCTGGTTTTTATGTCAACTGATCAGCAATCTGCTTGCCCTGAAGAAGGTACTCAGCTACCGAAAGCTTGTCAATCACATAATTATTGCAGAACACTGATTTGATATTATATTCTTGTCTATGTTCAGCGATTCAGTCGTTTTCAAATTCCAGATTTCGAAAATTGTACTGGGGCTCATTAAACTTATCCCAAACATCAGTGAAACATGGGAGCATTAATCCACTTTTTGTGAAGGAGATACTTCTTAATTAAATACTTTCATAATTAAAGGTTTAAGTTTGGAACGTGCAGGATCGCTGCAAGTACCCGCCCATAGTATTCCTAGTTCTGGATCAAGTTCAGAGAACATTGGTGGACATTCAGCGTTCTCGTGTCGCTCACTCGGAAGAGTTGACCTGAGTTATAATCCAAATATTCCTCGATAAGATAGACCTGGAGAAATTGCAGCTAGCATACACAAAGTAGGAACCCAGCCCCGAACTCAGGGCTATACGCGTAATCAGTGGCCTATGGGGGGGGGGCAGGGGCAACTTACACCCCTGTCGGAGTTTAAAAATATATATATATATATATATATATATATATATATATATAAATAATACTTCATAGGTGAGTGGGAAAGAAAGTAACCGGTATATTTAAGCCTATTTATCAAAACAATTTGAGCACCAAAATCCTCAGAAAACAACACCACGAAATAAAAGCAAGGGTGTCGAGACAAGAAGTAGGCCTAAGGCTTTTGATATTTTTCTCCCCCAACATCATGTTGAATGCACCCGAAGCCACATCCACCTTTGACTTTGCCTCCCCCAGACACCACAAGCTGATAGATACGCCTGTAATTTATTTCTGTGATAAGGTCAATTTTCACACGAGCATTGTGTGCGTTGTGACATTCACAGGGCTGGCTCTCGACCTGCGGCACCCCAGGGTTAAGACGAGTCAGAGTTCTACTGCAGGGCGATTTTCCCATGCAGGATCGGCAGTGGATCAACGCCTCAATACCATATCACACACAGGTCAGTTACTATGAAATGTAATGAGGCAAAGCAAGTTTCGTTCTGGTAGTTTTTGTTTCATTTCCCTCCTCTTTTTCTGCCCCCCCCCTTTTTGCGGAGTGAGTGTTAATTACATGGCCTTCCTTCACTCAACAAACCCTAATCCCCTCAATCTCTCTCTTGTTTGAAATGATAATTTATTTCAGAGAAATACGTTGCTTTTACTTCTTTTATCATGAAGCATTTAAAACGAAAAGCGTACAAGTCTCCCAAAATGGCAGAATCTTTAGATTTACCATATTTAAAAGATCATAATGATCTTGAAGTCTCGGGCATAGCACGTGTGCGTATGTGGGCGTATGTACACCTACTTCTCACATACATCAAGGATTCAACTCTGGTTGTTTGACGCGTGCATGTTTTCCCACGGCACCTCAAAGATTCTCTTCTCGATGCACCTCAAATCCCGGAATACTTCCTGCCTGCACTCTGATGTTCAGTGAACAATGAAGCACTTTCTTGACAAGCGCAAAGAGAAATCCTCATTGACCCACGCCCCGCTCCGACCGGCTCCTAGTTGGTTCCTGACTCAACAATTCCACCTTCAACGGCAAGCAACTTGCCTGCAGATGAAGGGGGTAGCCATGGTTACCCGCACGGGACCAATATGCCTGATTATTGGTCGGCTTCGTGTAAGAAAAAAAAATGCTTCATGCTGAGTTCCCAAGCCAACCCACTTAATAAAAGCGCTACATCGATAACATTACTGGAATTCCCACCGATAGGCCTACCAGAGAAGAAATATGACCAAGTTTGTTGACTGCGAACGATTTTCCACCCCGCACTGCCGTTCACGGCAGAGATCTATACCAGGCAAGATATGGGACGAAGGGGTACCCCCCTTACCTGTCCAATCCCTGTTCACACTCTGGACTATTGTAACCTAACACATCCCCCTAAAAGTATGCAAAGAGATTCCGATCAAACAATGACCAACACAAAGGCGGGGGTTCTCTCCGTCTCATATTTTGCTTCAAATGTACAGATCAGCGGCATATCGATCACCTTTCTCGGCATCACTTTACCCGTTAACTTCGGCCGCTTATCCATCCACTACATACATGTGTAAGCCCACTGAGAATATTTTCAATATGACTCATCACACCCACCAACACGCGAAAGCTCTGAATTTTTCCCAGTTCGTCCGATCGTGATGTGTAAACAGCGACGACGACGACTTCGNATCAGCATTATTTATGGGGCTAACAAGTAATGTTACTGTTTAAAAGACTTCTGTGAGCCAACCTGCAAATAAAGTCATGTCTAATTTGGAGTATACAGTAGATTTAATTATAGGTATACCCGCCCTCAAAATGATGTTGAATCAGTTCGTCTCTTATGAAAACTATTGGGAATCAAACATTGTAAATAATCTATTATTTACATTCCGTTCTGTGGGATATCGTGCAGGGACAGACAGAAATATCACATAGGCTATAAACCTAAAGTCTGGCTGTTAACGAGTAATGTTACGTCTAGAGTAACTAAGTTATCAAGAAAAACAATCTACCCTAACAAAAGTCTATTTTGTTGATTTATTTATGTAACTAAAACGGTATTATTTCATATACACGTTACTTAGCCGATGTCAGGATATTTTTTCTTCTTTCAATTGAAGTTTGGCGCAACTGCAAAAACGAATACATGTACATCTTCTAGTTCTATTGCTAAAATGAGAGTCAGGCATGGTGGATCGACTATCGAACAAGGACATGTACATGTGAAACGATCAAGGGTCAAAGTTAAAAATACCACTGCGCAAATGTGACCAAAAAAAAACCACGGGCGACGCACGACGGGCGACACACAACGGGCGACACACGACGGGCGACGCACGACGGGCGACGGGCGACGCACGACGGGCGACGCACGACGGGCTACGCACGACGGACGACGCACGACGCACGACGGCAGGTATGGAATTCCATACATCCGCAACACCTACACTCCCCGGCAAAACTGAGCTTTGCCACCGTCCTCGCTGCCCACGTGCAAATAGTCGACCATAATATTTCCTGTTGTTGGCCCCTGAGGCAGGTTTCATATTCGGCGGGGTTGTTACACCTGCACTGCCTCCAATTTCGTGAATATGCAACTCTATGCCGACAATGCAAAGCACCACTACATCGGTGGCACTACACAGACATTGGTTGACCGCTTTGTGGAACACCTCCGCACAGTGAAGAAAATAAAAAGCCCCGAAACCGCACTTGAACAGCACTTCAAGACCCAATTCCACTCCATGGATGACACGCGAGTCCGCGTCTTATTAACCACGCAGACTGACACAAGGCGGACAAAGTGAGAGCGGCGTATAATTTTCCACCTGCCAACAACTGTTGTATCGCAATGCTTACCACCATCAGCGGGGGCCACTCCAAAATGACCAATGATAGCTTTTCCACACTCACTGGATTCGTCTTTATTACTGAACGTTATCCCGTACAAATAGATCTCAGGAATGTGGCTTCCATGGTTGATTATCTGATGAGTATGCCTTCTGATTGTTCACACAGCTTACAAAACTGCAGAACAGCTTACGAACCCATGGTGGAAAGTGGACCTAGGTGCAGCCTATTGCTTACGAAAAATCACTCTGGTTAATAGAATACATGAGAATCCCGCCATTGGCAAGTATTGTTTTTCTGTTAAAAGTACAGACGTAGGCCTATACGAAGTGATTACACACATAGGCCTACACTAAGAATTTTCCAAGCCACGACTTTGAATCCTATATGACATACTTGTTTCAACTCAAACGATTTCTCTTCATACGCCTTCGAATTGATAAGTGCAACTGCATTAGAGTAGACCAACCCATTAAGCCCCGCCCTATTGTGTTCTTACCAATCACAGCCATTAGTTATACCCGACATGCGTGAATAAATATCCAACATGCGTGCACGCACGTATGATGACTGGACTACGTAGTGACAGATACGTGCTTAGTACCTATTTGCGCAGTGGGCGGGGCTTATTGGATTGGTTAATGAACAAGTGCTGTTGTTTGTGTGGTGGTTTCCTTCAAAGACGACATTGTCGTTAATACTTAAACACTGCCAAGTTAGAAACATCATTATTGAGAGAGACACCAACAGTTCAGTCTTCACGTTTCTACAACACCCAAATTAAAACCCACCTCGGGATGCAATAATTAGTGGCTCGTCGATCACGTGTCGGCTACCGTTTGATATATGACTGGCAGGACGTTTTACGAAAGCGCACAGTGTGATAGGGCACCCTTTTCATATTTTATGGCTCTCATTTTCGACCGACCTATTTTGGGCTCCCAATCACGGAAAAAAAGTTTTTTCCCCGCCAGCCATGCTAAAAAGACCTACCCCCCCAAAAAAGAAATGAAGGAAAAAAAAATCGGCCGGCATGACCTTTGAAAACAAAAGCCCTGAAAACTCACGACTTTGCAAACGACCAACAGCGACGGTCGGCGTTCGCGTGAACATTCGGCATACCGCACCTCCCCGTGGCCCACTGAGGTTCGTGCATAGCCCTACACCAGCAACATGGATTTTGTTTAAAATTTTTTTTTTGTCGGATTTTTTTTTCGACCGACCGACCATATCTGAAGTGGTAAAAGAAATGAGAACCATAGAATTTAATAAGGGCGCCCATCGACGCAATCACGGCTCTTGACACTGATAACTTGGCGGGCGATACTAATAAACACCAAACTCTGGTTGTTCTGCCCTGACAGATGAAGACATTTCTAACCTCGGCTTCTTCTTCGTGGAGCCAAAAAGGGGGGGGGGGGGGAACAGGGGCCCCCCTCCGCCAGGAAATAGAGGCTCAACAATGTTTCATGAAAAATCATGAGAGAAATGTCTGAATTAAATTAGGAACAAAGAAAACAGTGACTGGAGCAATAATGGCACAGGCAGAATCTCAAGGCTTGTGTTGCCACGTCAGGATTTAAAACATGAATCATTCATTCTTTGCAAATATTTGGTCACGTATTTCACTGTTTCCTGTCTACTCAGTGCTGGGAAATGAGCCTCCTATACAAGAAAATTTGAACATATTGGTAGGACGTATGACGTTGATTATTGATAAAATGTAATGATGTAATACGTTTTAACGTCTCGTCAAAGCTGCAGGCATTCCAACTACTAAATTGCTACCCCCCCCCCCTTGAGCAGAAGCACCATGCAGAAGCGTATCGGTTGGAAAGGGCCATGCTGGTATGGAGTGCTCATTTCACGTTGTTGGTGGCGACGCGTACTCAACGCATGTATTTCAAAGTCGTCCGTGATCTAGCCAATTGAAGTTCCTACCAAAGAGGCATCTGTTGCTATGAAAATTGCGCCCTCTCTTAGTCCCGCTTAGGGCCCATATGGACAGTACCCTTAGCCATTTATGACAATAAAATATCAGTAATATACGCACTGTAACCATTACGGTATCACTTACAGAAAGACGCTTACGAGGTAATGTAATTCGTGCTGGTATGAGCTCCAACCATCTGCTTAACCCGGAGATAGGAAGGGTGCGAAACGATCAAGCTGTAAGCGGGGCGGTTGTAGATTTTACTCCCGAACCGTACGTCACTGCACGGTACGTCAGCGTAGATGTTCCCAGAAGCGGTCCTGGAACTATCGTCCAGTTGACAGAAGTTATGGTGGAAGAGTTCAATATGCATACGACTATGGGTGCCTCTTCAACAGGTATGACGTCGATTATTACAAAAAAATGCAACGATGTTATATCTATTAACTATGGTAAACCTGTGTCCTAATCATAGCTAAGCGGCTCATTGCTTTTCAAAATGTAAAATGTCTGTCCAATTGAAACGAACGTTAAATGTGACTGAAATTCATGCAGCCAGAAAGATAGAATGTTTCTTTACAAAGATTTTCCTCTATTCATAATCTTTGAATCCGCTGCGAGCGGAACAATAGAGGGCGTGTTGTTGGTACTCATCGCACATGCGCGCCATGAGGCGCAGAATGTGTGCGTTTGATGCGGAGCACGCTGATCACGTGTAACTAATGGTCTTTGCGTACGCACAGAATGCGCAGAACGCGTACAAGAAACCCCTTGTAACCACCAGTCCTTCTTTGCCGATGGAGGGTGCACTTCAGCTTGGGGCGGCAGGGAGTGACTTTCACTCCCAAGCTTTCATCGACCACCGAGAGAATAACTTCATGAGCAGCGATCAGTACCAAGGCTCAATGGCCCCTCATCGCACATTCCTGACTGCCAGCGGGGTGGATAAGGTTTTGTTGATTGAATGTTTCCCCTTTTGTTCTTTTTGTTGACATTATTCTGTCAAGCTGTCATTCTAACTGGTAACTCAAGTAGCCAGAGCTCAACGCTGGAACAGGATGGTAATCGCTGGGATGCGGCGAGAGCCGTGGATGGATATCCAATGTACGGGGACACCAGCTGCAGTAGAACAAGTAAGCGTGTTCATGCAGGCGCATAGCAAGGATCTTGCTGCGAAAGAACTTACCTAGGTTAGGTTTTACACACCCAAAGCCCGAAGTTGGATCAACCATGCATCACGTTTTGAAACTAGGTATCCTTTATTCAGTGCACTGCTGGACTTTCTTATAGTCTTACTCTTTCTTTAATACTCACAAAACGAAGACACCAAAAAACTTAGAGGGATAATACGCTACTGTGATCGTGCCCTTAAAACATTTGTATACGTTTTCTGACGACGCTCTGGATACGAATACCAATACAGATTCAAAGACGGAATCTGACCTAACAATTGATACCAAACTTTGCAAGTCTAGGTTCTGATATACAAGATAGAGTGTGTAACACCATCGAATTTACTCAGAACTTATCTTTGATTAAAAACTTAATGCTTCACTCTATAACACCAAGTTTGTTTCATTAAAGCGATCGTAGTAAGTTATCAGCAAGGCTTGTTTTTCATTTCCTTTTTTTTTTTTGACGTCGAAGGCAGATCTGTAACAAAGTGTAATATCATTTCCCCTCAGATATTCAACAAAATCCGTGGTGGAAGAGCGACCTCACTTCTGTACGATGTGTTGGAGCAGTTGCCATCCGGAACATAGATGCCCTTCGACGTAAGCCTGGAAGGAGTCAACTTATCACACGGGCATGTCGAATTTAAAAACCTGATGGTCTAGTACCGTGCCGTTTTCCATTGACAACACATGAAACCAATTAGATTTTTGGGGTGGTAGATAATGTGTTAAGGGAGACAGGAAACTACGCCAGCGTGGCAAAATTTTGGTCCTCATTGTTGTTGTCTTGAATTTCAGACAACACGCGCCTAAATTTAATGGGCGCTGTTGCACGTGCTGGCTTGAGTGACACGCCTACCGATAACGCGATGTGTGGTTCGTCTGTGACCCAGTACCAAGCTTTTATCAATGACTGGATTGAATTCACCTGCGATCCGTCCAGACTGGCACGGTACGTTAGCATCAATATTCCCGGTGAAGCGGCTCTTATACTATGCGAAGTAAGAGTTCTGCCGTGTGATCTCCAACCTCCAGGTAAATATTTTAACTGTTTTGAAGTTTTCTACCAGCAATCAGATTTCTGGGTTTACCACCCTCTTACTGTAGGGAACCGTACCTGGGTCAGGGCGCACTCATCCTTCCAATACGCGTCACGGAGGTAATTAACCCATAAAGCTTATACTTTTTAGGCACTTCCTGGGCACGCGGTGTGAAGGTGGTCTCTTTGCTTTGGTCTCGAGTGTAGGACGTACTCTGCATTTTGCCTCTATTAATTTGCAGTGTGGGAGAGTATCAATGCTAGAAACCCTACTAAGTACTTATCATTGCATAAATACTTCAAAAGATCTTCTGTCGGAGAAATTGTACGATTTATGGGGCCCAATGTGGTAAATGTTTTCTGTATTACAAGGTGTCACAGTGTATTGGCTAGCTGTGTTAGCCACGTGCCCTATTAGCCTTCGACCATCCATTGTATTAGTATTTATGGTACCGTCTAGTCATTACACTACACCAACTGTTTTCATATTTAATAAATTGTAGTTCTGGAGTTAGACATCATTTATTGTTCACGTGTTCTCCAAGTGCTTGTCCGCTTTAATTAGGGGGCCGTTCCTCCTTCCTCCCACCGTCCAACTGACGTGGGGCTGGTCCGCTACTTTACTTTGTCCTTAATTATGTCATCGGTACCACAGGCTTCAGCTGCGTTTGAAGCATATGTCGAAGGGTTGTCTGTTTTCCAGAAAGAAGTTCAAAACAATGTAGTCCTCTCCATGCGTCTGCCTACTGAGTTAACATTCGTTTTAAATCAGTTTATAGGTAGCCCTGAGGTTGTAAACATATTTTACAATTTGAACAAAAACTTGCAGAACGGTTTAAAACTTGCTGGTATCTTTGTTCTTTATTTAATCCCAAAATTGTTTTGGGTTTGAATGGTATTGTAATTTTTTAGAAGGGGGAAAACTTTGCATTCTATCAATAGTTGGGGTTGGGTGCAGTGATAACTGACAAAGTCATAAGCATAGAATCGATGAGATATTTCCGTTTTGTGAGTTTTGAAATGTGGCATGCACCGGTCTGTCGAAATGCCATCCGAGAATGGCATGATGATTTTCTGCTTACTCGATACGTGTTGAAGATTTATGTAGGGACGGATTTTGTTCTATCCATGTATACATTCTTTGACTTACATGTGTGCGTGTTGATTCAGCACTCAACTTGACTGAAAAACCAAGAGATCAAAGCTCCGCAGTGAGCGGACAAGATGCTGGAAAAGCCTTCGATGGACTCCCAGAAGAACCCTTCTGCAGCCTCACGGGTAAGTTCTCTGTTAGTAAAGTTAACCCTGGCCGTGATCGAATACAACCCACAATGAGCCCCGAGTCGGATCAAGAGATGGCTCACTTTCCCTAGCGACAGGGGCTCCTTTGGTGGGAACTGCACTGTTCACGAACGACTGTGAAATGCACGCGTTACGGTCATATCGGTACTAACAAAATGAACACTCCTCACCAACATGACTGTTTTCAACCGCGGGCTTTTGCTTAAGGCAGATTGCCTCACCAAGATGTGTACTAACTTCAGCAGATTTGTTTTGGTCATTTTTGTGCTTAGTAACCATCAAGTTCGGATCTTGTGACGGCTTCTCGTTTATTTTGACAACTGCCAAAACTTGAAATGGTGTTACAAATTGTAGTCTCCATACACATCCGGCTGCCGTGCTTTTTTTCTCATCAGGAAATGAAGAGAACCCGTGGTGGAGGGTGGACCTGGAGTCAAGTTACTGTCTTGGAATAATCCAAGTCAGGAATACAGGCAGTCCAACAGGTACGATGCGTTTGTTTCTGTTTTGTAATGGGATTACAAACAGAGATACAAAGTGCGCAAAAAGAGGATATTCAAGCAACTGCAATATGAACACTGACATTCAGAACTATTTACTTCTCCATCACAGAACCCAACTTGCAGGATTCTGTCGTAAGGGCTGGCCTAAGCGAAGTTCATACCAACAACATCATGTGTGGTACACCTCTGACCAGTGAACAGTCCACCATCAATGACTGGATAAAGTTTACGTGCGACCCACCCGTACTTGCCCGGTATGTTAGCGTCGACATACCAGGACCCGCGAGCCTCAAACTATGCGAGGTGACGGTATCCCCCTGCGACTTGCAACAAAAGGGTAAATCCATTTTAAAGTAGTGACCTCAAGAACTTGCCGAGTGCAACTGATTGCGTGGTAAAATATGATTGATGAAATCATTATCGCATCAAGTCCCTATTTAGTTTAAATCCTATAAAAAGCACTGTTCTTTGTTTAATTTATAACCACCGCCCTTCGATAAAGATGGCGTTTCAAAAATTCCATCATGTGAACTTTTCTTGGGTATGTGGTTTGTGCAACTTTCTTTTAATGTAAATGCAATGAAACTATCGGAAATACGTGGATCAGTTTGGTTATTGAAATGCGCACTTTCAGAATATTCTTAAACATTTCAATGATTTTGTGCTACAAATAAGAACATTGGTGTGGTGTCATAAGTGGAAGAAATTGTTGAAATTTTAATCTGGGGATTTTCAGTTCAAAACGTGAATCCAAATCTTCTCAAAGAAAATATTTATGCGAAGACTTTACTCACTGACCATAGAACTGTAGTGAACTCAACTAATTACCACCAAATAAATGAAATCGATATCAACAAAACATCCAAAAATCAGGCGGTTTAATTTTTGTGAGTTTTAAGTGGACCGGTTTGGATTTCTTGCTTTGGATAATACCACAATTTTGGTCATAAAACTGTTAATTTGCATGGGGGGAAAACATAAGGCACACACAAAACCTTTCAGCATAACCAGCTTCACATTCCGCACAATTTTAAGAGAGACAGGTTGCCGCAGTCGGCGATTAGCTTGTGTAGTCATTGATAAGAATGACAAGAAAATGTCTTCAAACCTTTTTTGTGAATTATGTGACTACATGTAATTTAAACTAGAGTCCAGTTCTTACTCAGCGCAGAAGCAAACCTGCACGGGAATTTGCGACGTTCGTAAATTCAAATAGGGCCTATCCGCTACGAATTCGCAGATGCTCAACACATTTCAACTAGAACGAATTTGTCGGCAAATATCTAGAGATGTCAAATTTGCTTCCCCTTCACGTTCACCTGAAGTGTTCAAACAGTTCTTAGGCTTCAAATTCTTAATTACAGCAAAAGTTATGGATTTTACTGTGGTTGCAAATCGTGCTCGTCTTGGTGACGCTGGAGACAACGATTCCTCCATCACTGCCTACAAAGGTGCAGAAGACGTCTCTGTTGGCGTGTCATTCGGCCGCCAGCTGCCAACGGGAGGGAGGAGCAATGACCTCCCCTCTGGATCAGTGGTACTGGCTGATCCGTCAACGGGATGTGCAGACAAATTGGTTTTACGATTACCAGAGGAGGGTGGATTGAATAGGACAGGCGTCTTCTTCTCTGAGATGATCAGTGATGACATCACTACCAGGGTACAGGTCGTCATCTTACCTGATGGTAACAAATTATTTCAATGCATTCTGCAACAAAATTATTAGTATTGGAAGTAGCATCGGCGCGATGTTATCATTAGGTACCAAATATTTTGAGTAATTTTCTGCCCTCACTTTGATTTCTATTCCTTCAAGATACCTTTGCCGTATTTAAATATAATGCTGATTTATCTGTCCCCTGTCAGGAAATGACACCGACGTGCGTCCTACTCAACGAACACAGACAGCAAACATCGGAGATTCCGTAATGCTGCAAATGCACGATGTTAACTCACCTAGCACCGATTATAGGTGGAGGCATAATGGAGGTGTCATCATTGAATCTTGGAACAACTTCCTGAACGTGACAATACCAAACGTAACTGTGGAGAAAGAGGGAATATACGCATGCTTTGCTTTAGATCAGGAAAATGAACAACTACATGGCATCATGAGACTTATAGTTAGAGGTTTGTTGTCAACACTTGAATCTTCACGCTTTTCGTTACTGTGCATTGCCAAATCTCTGGTGTTGAAAACAACACTTTTTGGTGTTATCAGATAACCGCACCATAAGGTGTTACTTTAGTACCGCTCGTGTTAATTCACACACCTATAAGTGTTACAGTGTACAGGCGTGTCATATATAGCGTGGACCTCTGCACAAAAGTAGTCCTCATAATGCAGGGTACGATGGCGTTGTGTGGACTTGCACATGTCCACACAAGGTTTCCCCTTCTCTGGAAAAGGGATTTAGAGGCATTTTGTGGTATGGGTCATCGGTAGTAAAAGGAAGAGGAAAAGTCAAGGAAACCTTGAAAAAAAAACAGCCAAAAATCTTGTTCCTTGTCGAAGAAAAATGAATATTTTCACTGAGTTTTTTAACTGGACGAAAACAAAGGAATGTCCACAGTATGTAACGTAAACATGCATGCACTAGAGGGTGTTAAACGTAACACGAAGATGGTGTTGAAATAACACGAACAAAATTTAAGAGCGGTGACAAGTGTTGGTGAAGTCCTCTGGTAACACCCGAAGTGTTAAATGTAACACCCCCGTTTTTCTTACTGACGCTATTTCTCATATGTTGTGAACGAGGGAATGATTTGTGTGATATCTCGATATAGAATTTTACCAAAGCGAGCCTAAGAATCAACACAGATAAAAAAAGTACTCCGGCATTGATGTGGGAGCTTAAGTTTAGCTAGCTGTTCTTCTTTTGGCCGCGAGTTCATGCAGATGTGTTTTCTTAACATGTTAGAAAGATGATATCTTGTTTTTCTACTGCATGCTTTAAAATGGGGAAAAAGGTTTTCCCTTTGAAACAATCCCCTATCGTGTCATTCGACCACCAGAATCGGAAACCATTACTGCGGTGGCACGACCCTCATGGAGAGGTGGTTTCGCGCTTTGACCAATAGGGTGTCGTGATTTGCCAAATGCACGTGCGCGTCAAGCGTCAATGTGCGTGTGAGTGTGGTGCCACTGCAGTTACCGCGTCTAGTCGGATTTGTTTATAGGCTAAACGTATGCTGAGGCTTTAAGATTATCATTTGAATCACTAACACGTGTTTATTAATATCAGGTTGTCCCTTTGGATTGTGGGCTCCACCTTCGTGTCTGAAAATCTGCCGTCGATGCTACAATGGCGGTGTATGTGATGACAAGTCTGGTACATGTGTGTGTCCTCCAGGATTCAGTGGAGACAGTTGTGAGCAAGGTGAATAGACTTACAGCCTTTTAGACACTTGGTGGCAGTAGACAGATATGTCGAGTATTTCTAGTGTTGTTAAACCACTCCTAAAATACGATGTTGATTGTTGTCTGTACGGCTTTTTACGCAGCCTCAGAGGGCGAACCCCTTTTATTGCGTTAGCCCCTTGAAAGAAATAAGAGCAAATTTAATCATCAGGGAAAAATAATGTTAAAAGAAGTTTCAATTCTTTTACGTAATTAAAAAAAAAACTTGTTTTGATCATCTGTGGAAACCACAGCACAGGGTCGTCATGTGTTTGGCAAGACTGCTGATCAGCGATGCTCTAATAGCACTGATGCACACAACGATGCTTGCCGAGGGCGTTTGTTTTGTCTACCAGACCCTTATGGATGCTCCTGTGCTGCAGGTTACAAAGGATTAGACTGTATGCAAGGTACCATGTTTGGAAGTAAATTGAATGTAGAACTCTGCTGTTTAATCTACGGTGCATTATACGTGTTTGTTGTTCTGCACGAATAGGTGAAACTATTAGATTGTTAAAAGTTCTCGACTATTGCAATTAATATTTAGATATTCTAGTCTTCCGCGGTATTATTGTTAAAGGATAAAATGCTTTGTATATTTTTGTAATGTCTCTTTTTATATAAATCAAATGTCAGACTGTGATGACGGAACGTTTGGTGCAGGTTGCCAGCAGACTTGTCACTGTGCATCAGGAGGAACGTGCAGTAAAGATACAGGAGAATGTAGCACGGGTGAGATGAGTTATTCTAAATCAAATAAATTGAAAAATATGAGGTTTTTTGACCCAACATTTATTTCCGTTTTGCCACGTGTATATAAAGTTATACAGAAGCTCAATAAATGAAAGATTTATGACTACAAGAGTGAAAGTTAAATAAGACCATGAGACATTGAAATAAAAGGGGGCCAAGATGGAGGCATATTCAGAAGACAAAGTCTTATACGGAAAGGCCTCGTTAAGACAACAAAAAGAACTAGACAAGGAAGACTAAAAACAAATTATAGATACAAAAGATAATTGCAGTACAATACAGTCAAAACAAAACAAGGACGAACCAATAGACTGAGATGTAACAAAAAATGGAATTACCAAAAACTAGAAACGTTAGAAGAACAGAAGGAAGATTAGAATGATAAATGGGAAGGAGCTGCCGCAGATAATAAGAAACATTGTGCTTTTGGTAAGTTGCCTTTAAAGCATCCCACAGTTGATTGTGGTTTATTAGTTTATTCATTATAACGATTGATGTATAGAGATTAAGTCTATTCCCTGAATTTTTTTTATTATCGTGGGCGTCTTTATCGTGACTCAGTGCTGCAAACCTGAACTTTTTATCGTGTTTGTTTGGTCAGGTTGTGCGGCATCATATTTCGGAAGTAACTGTCAGTGCTCAAGTAAGTTAAATTTCGACAAGAATTAGTGAACAAAATCATTAGTTCGGCAAAAAGATATCACAACACTGTTGCAGAGAAATGGCAAATTGGAAAAAAATACAGAGTTGAAACCAGATGATAGTTTGAACTGCATACGTAGATGTTTGGTTTCATTCGAACTGTATTCTGGGCTTTATTTAGTTTATCCTGTAGCTTCTGAATTCAACATTTCGAGCCCGTTTGAAATCACATGCTGCCGCTGGCATAGCAAAGAGGGACAAGGTTTCATCTAGTACTGCCTCCCCCTCCAACTGCCTATTCTCCCCTAGGAAAACTTTGGAAACTTATTCCCCTTGGTGCTATCTGAGGTCATATCTCCATTAAACCCAGGATCATAAGGAACTTGTGAGGACTTGTATTCCATGAAGGGTTGAAGTTGTAACGCTAAAAATGTGGGCCTTATAAATTTTGAAGAAGCAAAAATTGTCCGTTCGAAGTTTTTCTTTGTTCTCAGAGAAGGTGGAGTGGGCGAGATGAAAGGCTCTGCTATTTTGAGTAATACATTTTCTGTCATGACCCAACAATATTACTGACGGGTTGAATCAGTTATTCATGCACTTTCAGCTGAGAATGCTGTTCTGGGGCTCGAAGCGACATCAGGCGACCCTCGTCAATTATTCGTTACGTGGCAACCAGATCTGTGCGCTTCTAGATATGAATTGACAATCAGGGACGAGTGTGCGGACGTGGTATCCCAAGAATTGACATCTGAGAATGCTTACCATTTCGTCACTGGCCTGGAGTACCCACTAAGCCATAGAGTTTACATGCGACCGGTGTACCCGGGTGATGAACTTGGACCTGAGGTGACATTTCCGCAAACAACTGGTAAACCCACGTAATTCGAATTAATGTTGTAAGCAACTTCTTAGTCCTTACTCCAAAAAAGGCCAGTCATTATACTCAATTCAAAAGCCAAATGTTTATCTTATGACGAATAGCTGCAGTGTGCAATTTTCGGTGGGTGTTATGTTTAAAATTCCCTACTTTATCTTGATTTGTGTGTCGCTAGAACCAACTATGGCACCAGTTGACGTGAATTTCACTTTAGCTGCACCATACAGCCTGAGTTTCTCCTGGAGTAAGCCACCTTGTGGAAGCCGGGGTGGTATCACCACAGGCTACACGTACAAACTGACTGAAGGAAGTCCGGAATCCCAAGTAATCATTCAGACAGTGACATCAGAGGAATCGGTGACCATCGAAGGTTTAACGCCGCTGACTGAGTACAGTTTTCAGGTTGCTGCCAATACCATTGCGGGAACTGGACCGTACAGTCAGGCTGCTGTGGGGACAACGCTACAAGGTTCATGGAAGGTTTTCTCCCTTTGCAAGTTAATCTTTTTGATTGCATGTGAAAATTTCTATGATCAATCTTCCTGTTTCCCCTTAGCATCATGTTTTCTGTCGCTTTATCCTTTGATTTGGAATTTGGAGAATTATCTTTTAAACGGAGATATCGGCGATATCTGGGTATTAGGGAATAGTACATGCGAAGTGCTCGATTATGGTGGTTCTGTTGATGCGTATCGCTGTCAAGCAAGATAGCCTTGTTGGCAGTTCCTAAATCTATAATTACTGGAACATTTATTTTTTTATTTGAATAGGGCTTGCGGCGATCATAATGTTAGGCCTAATGTCAGTGATCCAGAACAAAACATTGTTCAAGGATAAATATATACTTGACTAAATAACTCCTGGCATCACTTATGAGTTAGGAAATTTCTTCAAATTAATTTCAACAGAGCTTTTGTTTACCGAGGAACAAAACTCCTGCTTTGCATTGCAGTCATGGTGTGTTATTTGACGGATAATGTAATGACCTGAGTGAGATTATGGACCTACCAATCAGATGACGGGGGTGCCTTTAAGGCGTTTTATACAATATGGACTACGTTTCTTTTATCGAAACAGCATCACCTTTTCATGAAACTCTGGCCAATTTAGATTTGAAAAGTGATAGGCATGTATTCGTATACCATCCTTTCACACCACCATCCCTAAAATGGCGATACAGAAACAGGTGTATAGTGTTTACTCTTTTATAGAAGTCCAAAGTACAGCTGAAATCACATCAGTCCCGGTATCAACGGGAGAAGGAAGCACACTCCATCCGTCTACGCGAGTATCGACTACGGCAGATGCCTTGACCACGCTCAAGCCGTCAACTTCTGAACCAACTCAGGTACCAACGACAACATCTATAACACTCGAGCCGTCAACTACTGAAGCATCTCAGGCACCAACGACGTCAGTAGTATCCACAACATTCGAGCCGTCAACTACTGAAGCAACTCAGGTACCAACGGCACCCGTAGCATCCACAACATTCCAGCCAGAAACTACTGAAGCAACTCAGGTACCAACGACACCAGAAGCATCCACAACATTCCAGCCGGCAACTACTGGAGCAACTCAGGTACCAACGACACAAGTAGCACCTACAACATTCGAATCGTCAATAACAGAAGCATTCACAACATTCGAGCCGTCAACTACTGAAGTAACTCATGTATTAACGACACCAGAGGCATCCACGACATTTGAGCCGTCAACTACTGAAGCAACTCAGGTACCAACGACACCCGTAGCACCCACAACATTTGAGCCGTCAACTACTGAAGCAACTCAGGTACCAACGACACCCGTAGCACCCACAACATTCGAGCCGGCAACTACTGAAGCAACTCAGGTACCAACGGCACCCGTAGCATCCACAACATTCGAGCCGGTAACTACTGAAGCAACTCAGGTATCAACGATGCCAGTAGCATCCACAGCACTTGAGCTGTCAACTACTGAAGTAACTCGGGTACGAACTACGCAAGAGGCAGCCACCACATTCCCGCCATCAACTATGGAAGTCGATGAGCCATTGTTAGTTACTTCTGTTCCTGAATCAATCACCAACGAGACAACCAGACCACCTTCCAAAACAAGTAATTGTTCACCTTTTCTCTGTATTATTAGACATGGATAGTTTAGAACCACATACTTTTGATGTCTTTTTGTTGAACGCCCACCAATGACAGCGTCTATTATCTGGCAGATGAGCAACCTGACATTGGTCCACCCTCATCGGCAGTCGCTGGTGGAGTGGCAGCTGCTGTTGTGATTCTCATTACGTTGATGGTAGTCGCTGCTGTGGTGCATAACAGGTAGATTCTACGAGCACACCTCGTAGTCTTTTTTTTCACAAACTGCAAAAATTCCATGCTATATTAAAGGCAGATTCAGAGGTGCCATGGCCCCTCCCCAAAAGGAGTAAAAAAAAAATCTTTTTTAATTTTAAAGGGGGATTTTTAAATTTATTTTATTCCCTCAGTTCTAAAAAGCACCTAAAAGCCCAGAAATGTAACTTCCCCACTCGAAAAGGCCATAAATTGCTGCCTAAAAATCCATTTTTGGCAATTTCGCCCCCAAAAATAACTTTGTCCGCCGTCTGAAAATATGCTTCTGGATCTGCCCTTGTGTAATATACAGCGTGTGTCATTTTATATTGTGAAAGAATTTGGGTACAACTCATCCTGTGAATAATTTTGTTTTCTCTTGAAGGGCCCGCCTTGTAAACCAGCCGTCAGCTGATGTCAACGTTGGTGTCTCAATGGAAGAAATAAGCACAGACTTTGTTCCTGGTAAGTTTACTACCCCCCCCTCCAAAAAGAATGTTTTTCTGATGTAGCATTCGATTAAGATAACTTGGATTCGTGTTCATAAATAAACGTAGCTAGATTATGATCACGCGTCAGCCTATAGATCATTTTTTCCTTGAAGTAATAAAGTTAATTAAAAGTGGTTCTAAAACGTGCCGTTCGTAGTTATCGATTCTAAAGGTGAGTGGCGGGGAATTCTTTCAAAATAGTCCCTGCAATGCCTGAAACCTTATTTTAGATAATTTAGAAACCTTTTTTCTATTTAATACAAATGATTATGGAACTATTTGTCTGACTGGTGTTTGACAATTCATTGATTACACTGGCCATTTTTTACGTAAATTCAAATTCAGAACTCCCAAATGAAAAGTAGAATACACAAATGAATATCAAAAATATTAAGAATTGCACACATTTTTGTTACAATACTAAAAATATTTTTGTTAATTAAAGTATTCTTTATGGCTTATGTTTCACAACACAAATGTTTCAAAATATTTTTTACAGAATGATAAAATGAATTTATAAATGAATTGAGAATCCTCGAATTGAGTAAACTGTATTTTTGTTTCATCAATACAGTACATGTATTAAGTTCCAAACTTTCGGACATTGTTATTCTGTGTAGACGGGGTCTATCAGGTTCAAGAACCCATTGGCGATGGTATGGGTCAGGATTCGTTCTCCTGGTCCACATCAAAGAACTCGATTACGACGACCGAATCCTGGCCGACGCCCGAGGAATCCAAAGCGGAGACCTCCGAGAGCGCATCCGTTGATGATGACAGTTCAGCAAAGGTGTGTCGTGCACAAAGAATCGCTCAGGAAGAGCCCGTGCCACATCCACCAGTCGACGAGGGCGCAGATCAGCGTACATTGAGGGACCTTTTCAGCCAAACCTACATCGGTTTATTCTGATAAGCTCCCACAATGCAATGCGAGTCAGAACGACTGTGCTAGCCAAACGAAGCAGAGGCCAAACTAAAGAGAAACATAACACGAGGCAGATGTCAACGTGAGTACAAAATTGAAAGAGAAACATTATGTGTTAGTGCAGATAAATCCACCAATATACACATTTTTAATATTGGAAAAGGCAAATCTATAATTTCTGAGCTTTCCGATGGCTTCAACGACATCGTAGATTTTATTTTGAGCGCTGACAGATGGGGTCGATTTCACAGAGCTGCTCAAGAACAAAATTTGCTTAAGCGCTAAAAACCTTGCTTAAAATACAAAGGTTACCAGCTCAAAATCTAGATGATTGTTATGCTAACCAAAAGACAGGCGAATACCATTTCAAAACAGTATAAATCACATGGAGTTTGGGCTGATAACCTGATTTGCCAAGCAAGGTTTTTTCATGCTTAAGCAAATTTTGTGCTTTATTAAGCAGTTCTGTGAAATTAGCCTGCGCATTAATGCTACAGTAATGGTTGTTTTGCGCAATGAGTGGCGATTCTGGGCAAATTCCCAAGGCGAATAATTATGAGAAAATTGGGATTTAATGAGAAAACATACTACATGCAATTTTGGCCACCTGTTGTACCTTGTGAAATTTGAGCTGGGCCGACAAGAACGATATCAGCTACGTGCAGCCATTTTCGCCCAAAATATTTTTCAACTTATTTGATGTAAATCAATCATGAAAACATTTGAATCCTGCCCGCAAAAGATGTGAGAAAAAAACATTTCAATACTGGAAGGTTGAGGATCGGAAGGGTTAAAGTCTAAATACACAAACAGACAGTCTTGTTATTTTCTAATCAGAAACAAAAGACCAACTGAGTCCGTCACTGCAGATTTCTGATGCGTCGTGCAGCCTATAGTCGCTGATAAAAAACATCTGCTGGAAATCTAACAAAGAGGGCGCGTCCTGTAAACGGTTCGTCTCAACTTTTTCGATCGGAAATAGATCGTGACTTTACAAGAGCCGCGGCTTCCAGCTGCTACAATGAAAACAGACGAGGAGTAAGTCATTTCGGTTTATGATTGCAAGATGGGGATATGGGACGTCTTGTGGACGGATGCTGTCTTGGGTCGGGCGTCGCCCGATTTCTCCCGGGATGGGGGGGGGACAAACATCAGCAGCAAACGGATAAACAGATAATAGTGAAAGGCTTCTATTCTGAGATACTTTGAAGCAAACTCCAAATTTTCATTCTTCCAGTTTCTTGTTTCTCTCGCTTTCATCGTTCTTGCTACTTTTAGATTTTTGGTTTTACAAACAAAAAATATTCCTAGTGCCGCGACAAGTTTACCTATTCAGCAAATTACAGTGCAGTGGATACGACCATTACTGAGAGGCGTATCCAACGAGAGATAGGGACAAGTTATCCCCCACCCGCCCAAACTGTTGCCATGTTTTGAGGAATTGAAAGTGTCATCATAGTACCATGAGGATCGGCAAAACGTTAGACAGGCGTTGTTAGAAAAGAAACAGAATTTCCTTTTGCCCCCTCTCCTGTCCAAGAACTGCATACCCCATTGAATATGACCTTACTGGTCTGCTTGGAGTGTTTTTCTAAACATATTAATATAATTAAGGTGTCTCTTCTTAATGACAGAATAGTCCTACAAACACTATAATTTGAAAATGTCTCTTTTGTTCCTTATACATCTGTAGCCTCCATAACAAGGTCTCTACCGCCTGCTAAGTCAGATGCAGTTTATGAAGGACAAGTTGATGTCTAAGGCTTACGACTGTCGAATATATACGATAAAAACGAATCCAGGTGACTAATTTCTTTTTGCTCAAATGCTCCAAGCCAGTGTCAATAATTTCATGACTCATATATTTTAATAATCAATCCGAACCTTTTCCTTTTAATTCGTAAATGTTGTCTGGTTTAAAAAGAATATTGTGAACGAGCTAATATTTTATATCCGTCGGATGTACTAAATGCAGAAGGTAGAATACTTTCGTATTTTCGTAATTAATGATTTTTAGTTATTTTCATGGGTTATTAACTTTTGTTATCACAACTTTTTGAAGGGCTCGTAAAGTTTTGAAATGTTAAAAATGGAGATTGCATTTGTGTGCCAGAGTTGTAACGAGTCAATATGTATTCCAACAAAAACTGTATAAGGCTGGACGCGTGAAAAAAGTACCGTAACGATAATTGTAGATAAATGAAGGGGATCACGTCTTACATGTAGATAATCCGATCATTGTAAAATTGCTGTAATATATCCAAATAAATATTGTTTAAAATTTAAAACAATAATTTGTGACATCGTGAATAAAAAATTTCTGTAAGTTAATGTATTTCCCATATTTCTGACGAAATTGTTTCTTACACAGCACTGGAAATCTGATTTCTGCCCCCCCCCCATGGGATTGAAGGGCTAAGTGATTATGTTAATCTTCTTACCATTTCCAAGTAGGATTTCTTACTTAAAGATACTACCTGCTTAGGAAAAAAAAACATATAAAATCAAAGAAAAGAAAACTTTCTGCTGTTTGATGATTTGTGTTTGTTCTTTCTTTAAGTGCATCGTGATGATAACTTTTTTCGTGTTCTGTGGGAGAACTTTCTTCCAAGCTCAGAGACACCCCGGGCACGCACACTACCACCGGCTCACGCGCGCTCCCTCAAAAAAAACTGCAACCTGCCATTAATTGATTGAAAGTCCGCCCTCTAGCTCTGTGCACATCTGAAAGTTATTTCCAGCCACCCATTGACAAACTTTGATTTCCTCAGTTTCCAGGAAAACAAATTCAGCGTACGCAGGCTCATTTTGAAACCTATGTTGCCATGTAAAGCTGTTTTTAAGATAGTACAACAGGAGTAATACATTTTGTCGAATTTGAGGTTCAAAGCATCAAATTTGCTCTGGAATCATTTTAGACTACACTCTCAAAGGAAAAACGAAACGGCTTATTATCAGACTAGTGTGGACCGCCACGCTGCTGCAAGGAGTCAAGGTTTCTTTTTCTAAATGTAGACTTCGCTAAATCTGTGGCTTCATCTCTGACATTGAAACTGCTTTGTTGGCGTATTAAGCCCACACTGAAAAACCTACATCTTTTAAAAATGTTCCATGTATAGTTAATACATTTTAGCTAAATAAAGTCCCTTTCAAGCTAAAAATGCCAAAGTCAGAACGATAAAAATACACATGTGGCCGGTTAGAGGACGATGTTTGGAAAACCCTCAAGGTTATTTACACTACGGATATTTCCAGGCACGCGCCGAGCGAACGGACGTTGACACGTACACAGAAAACTTGACACGTTGAAGTTTTGCCTCCATGTGCTTCCATATCAGCACAGCGAGCTACAGCTGTGGTCTCTGCCTGTCCTTTTCGGTAGGGAATGCAACTAGCTGTCGTCATGGCTCAACTTCTCACGCTAATCTCGCTGGTTTCCCTCCTCTTCGTGGCCAAGACTTTCATTCAGACGGCAGAGAGCGAGACGGAGGAAAACACAACCCCAACCACGACTTACGATGAGTGGTATCAGAGTGGTATGGACTCCTACAACAAGGAGGACTGGGAAGACACCATTTACTACCTGGAGAAAGCCTTGGAAGAGTTCAATTTCTACCGATCTAGTCTGGTAGAATGCCGCCTGAAATGCTCGAATGTCACCCGTACGCGTGCCTCCAGCTCGCAGAAGGACGAGGAAAATTTATTGACGGAGATGCAGTACTTCCAGGGACTGTTCCTGAAGGCCAACTGCGTCCGAAAGTGTAAATTCGACAAGTTGGGCAACCGTCCGCAGCTCATCGACAATGATTTGACGGACAAGTTCCTGAGCCGGATGCCTTATAGTTATTTGCAGTTTGCTTATTACAAGGTAGGCGATGTAGCCACGAAATGCAGGCAGCTGCTTGCACATTTATTTTCTTGCTTTTGTTTGGCGCACAGGATTGCAATCGTGTGCATGATTAATTGGGAGGGAAAGATGGGGAGGGATTGATGGATGCGGGGGGGGGGTAAAAATTGTTTACCTTGCTTCTGTAAATTTCCAGACATCACTGATTTTCCCTCACTGTTATTTGTTAACCATGAGGAAGTGATAACATCCTGAAATGTGAAATTTAGCAGGGAAAATATTGAAGCGTATAGGCTTAGACAACATGGAGTTCCACTAACTTGGACCTTGGACTGTAGGTAATTCCAGAAATTAGGGGTCAAAAAGTGTGAGATTCTTAAGTCCCTGTTACACCTGATGTTTGTTATTTGACATGGAAATATCACCGGAATTGATTTCTATTGAATTGAACTGTTGCTATTTGGCTGGTAATTTGCATTAATTCATCACTGTGTTTTGAGCTTACAAAATCATATGTTACATCATGTAGATGTGACAGGGACACAGAAAAAAATGGACCCCTAATTTCTGGAATAGACCGATTGCGCCTGTTAAGTCACGTGACCTATAGTGGGTACATTAAATCAACAAACATGGCACCCACCAAAAGCAAAGCGTTTCATAAGTATCATTTACCAAATCTAAAGCCGACGGTAGGTACCGTACTCAGACTACTGATGTGCTGGGTACTATACCGTTATGTGGTTGTTTTGTTTGTAAACAACAATCGAAACACACGTTGCTATGGGGTTGATCTTGCCCAATCAGACCTCCCTTAGCTCAGCAGCCATCTTGAAAAAAAAAAAAAGGCCCTCTTCCTTAACTTTTAGAAAAACCATAATGATACTTTTTTGATAAGAAAAATTGTGACCCACCCTGTGAAAATGAGTCTTAAGTTGCCAGAGCTACTTAAAAGTCCTTTAGAATAATTTTGCACAGTGTAAATTCAGTAGGAACCCACAGCATTTTTCACCATGGAGTATCCACTTTCATCAGGATGCCAAACGGAGTGGTACATCAAAACCAAAAAACTCAATTTGCTTCCAACTGCGAATGAAAACTCAAAAAGTGGCTCTGGTGACTTGAAACTCATTTCTACAGAGTGAGTGGGTCACAATTTTACTTGGCCTGAAGACAGATGTCAAGGCTAACGTGTAGTTAAGCTTATGGGTTAAAAGTCAGCGCACCGTTATGTAAGGTCTTAATTGTTTGGAATAAAAAGAATCACGTTACACTTGAACACCCATTTCTGTCAACTTCTGTGTGATTGAGTATTTTGGTTGGGCAACTGGTAACTTGTTCAGCAGTTAATGCACAGTACATGTACATGTATGGCCCTTCATATCCATTGACTTCTGAAGCTCCAATTCAAGTTTGATTTGCACATGTTTCTATTAACATTTCTACTGTTTTGAATGTTTCAGACTGTGAAGCTGTTCAATAAGCCGTGCTTTCATCTCAAATACACGTAGATGCTGAATTCCATTAGATTAGGCCCCAAAATATTCTGCTTCCAATTGCATGACACTTGAGAACAGGGCAACTTTAGGATTTGGGGGGTTTGGGGGCACTCTTTCAGTGTAGTAGCAGGTTAAAATGACAAAATAGACAGGTCAGGTGGCATCATTTCAAACAAAATGAACAACACTTGAAAGGGTACTCGTCTGTGAAATTGTACAAATACATGTATGCTGACACACATGGTACAACAGTACTTAAATTGTTTTCTATGTCAGAGAAATATGGAAGGGCTGCGTAGCACCGTGATCAGAATATTGACAAGAATAGAATATCAAATCAATGCTCTGAAAGATGTGATTGCCGAGCTTTCGGTAACTGAGTACCTTCTTCAGGGCAAGCAGATTCAGTTCCCTGAAGAAGGTACTCAGTTACCGAAAGCTCGGCAATCACATATTCCAGAGCACTGATTTGATATTACATTATTGTCGTTAAATTGGTTTCTATTATTTTGGTAGCTTATTTCACATTTCCCAAATTCCACCTCCTCCAAGTACTGTAGGGTTGCATGGTCGAATTCCAAATAGGGTAGGTACCGGTATAGAACATCGTACAGAAACAGGAAACAAGCTCAATTCTGGGATCTACAGTAGCCTCGCTACCAGTTCACATGGTTCGTGTGTGTACTGGTACATGGACATCACATGTGTACTTGTTGTTAATCTCTCCCATGGTGTGAAAAATTGCAGTGGGCTAAGGTCAGTAGTTTATTTTGTGAACACACCTGGGGCGAATTAAAACTAATTTGGGGAGTAGATTTAAACCACAGTGTGATACATGTAGCATCAGAACCTACCTAATAACAGTGAATAACAAGTGCCGAGTGGTCATGTGGATGTATATGTACATGTACATACTGGTACATGTGGGCCTTACATGTACATGTACATGGAGGTTTCTGTCTTACATACATGTTACAGGTTCAAGGTTGCTCACTTGGGTTGTAACTTGTGCATTAAATCACAATGTACCATACAGTATCCATGTACATGTACCAGTATGTGGGGCTGAGTCAATTCGAATAATTCACTATTAAAATATTCGACCTTCAATTTGATCGAATATCTGAATATTCGGACGTACCGATCAGCAAATTGTTAATGAACAGTCCATTACATGTTGCACTACTATAATGCATATATGTAGCTTCTCACGTCTAGGAGTATCTCCAGCTATGATTGAGCAAAATTTAAGAGACAAACACTCAGGACTTCTTGCCCTGTTGAAAATTTCTATTCCTTTTAAATTTTTTAATGAATAATTTACTTTTTGAATTGTAAGATCTCTGTTGCTTTTTGTTCCGCGTGCCCTTGGAAGAAAAAGTCCAATAGAAACATGCCTTATGGGTGGATGAAACTCAGCACGTTTGGTGGGTGTAACGTACTCAACAACCTTTTGCTTGTAATTGGCTTCGCCACACGTTATTGTCCCTGCGTTAATTTCTGATAATTTTGAGCAGCTTCATGCTGCTGGGAGAGTTGGTTGCATGATTGTAATGGAGGATTGACGCAGGCGACATGATGGGAGCAACGTCTGTCGGTGGCGTTATCAGTTCGATGATCTTTAAATTGGAGTGAATCACCAGTTGGTTGCCTGGGTGAGACGTGTAACTTTTCCAAATAAACCGGATCCTTAAATGATGGATTCTAATCTTGTCCCCCTACACTGCAGCTGCAGTTAATCATCAAAAGAAAATGTGCTGCATTACATGTACAGTGTACATGTATATGTACATGTACAATAATGTGTTTGTGATCGTTCATCCATATGCATGTAATAATCTGTGCTTGGCGACATGCACATGTACGTATCGGTACATGAACGTGTACAGTGTACATGTACATGTTTGTACAGTTTGGCATGGGGCAGCTCAGGAAGAACTTGTTTTGCACTGACATGGTTGATTAGCTTTGCTGAAACTGGCTGGCACGCGATCAGAAAGTAATGTACACCCTGTCCTATGAACTGCGTGTTTGCACAGCTTTTGAGACATTCACTGACACTGTATGGTACTCAGGTTGGTCCTGTTTCAAATGTTGCCAAAATAATTGTTGTGTTGTTACACAATGTAGGTGGTCTTTAATTTATGGTTGAATTGTCCATTTTCTAGTTTAACAAGTTCAATCAATACATGCATGTACATGTATATGTACTGTCAAAATTACTTTGTACATACATGTATGTACATGTATACATGTACATGTGTAGAAATTTCAGTGAGACGAAGCAACAGGTTTTGGCTATGTAGGAACCGATTCCAGTGCAATAGTGTGTAACACCCCCCCCCACATGCATGTATGTTGTGCCTATTGTCAGCAAATACAGTGGTTTCTGTCTATTGTAACGTCATTTCACAGGTTGTTGCCTGCATCTTTGAAGGTGAGGTTGGAAGTGCAGTGTAATCAGGCATAATATTTAAATTCAGATGCTTGAAACCATGAAGTTTGGTTGTGGTTTATTATGTTGCATGTATTTTGTATTTACCGGTAGCTTTCCAAAGTCAATCTTATTTCACATCCTTCTTGACACTAACCGCAGTAACCACACAGTTAACCCAAACTTTCCAGGGTCCTTTTAATTTAAAAAACTAGGCAATTTTTTGCAGCATTGGGGACGATGCAACCACAGGTAAAACGTAAATGTTAAAATGTGAAAAAAGGCTCAGAAATCTTTGTCGTGGTCAAGTGTTCAAATTCATGAAATCAGAATGGAGTAAACAGACAGGGTTTGGAGGGCACATCATGGAAGCCATCTCTTTGAGGAAGAAGTTATTGGCTCTGTGAAGAGCTGCAGTGAGAAAAGGGCTGGATGTATTGAACAGCGTGCTCTGCTTGTCTTCAGGATACAAACTGGAGTGATGCCGGTTCAGCTGGTTAAGGTGTCTGAAGTCACTCAGGCATGGAGTGAAGGATGCACTGACCAGATGTACATTACATGTACAAATGTACATGTATGCTGACTGTACAGGCATAGAATGCTACATGTTATTCCATTATCTAGCTTTTCAAATCAAGTACTACATGCACATGGCATGTACTAAAGTAGTTTGTGAGTGATTGGGATGTTGAGAGCTAAAACAGTCTGGGATATTGATTTACATGTAACAATCTAAAGCAACATTGGATTGGCCCTAGAGAGGTTGAGAGGACTCAGACAAAGGTTTTTGGTGTGTTTCAGCCATACTGTCACCGAGCAATGAAACATTAGCCATCTGGCATATACAGGTAAATCAAACAAGGTACGGTACATATAGCTATAAGTTTGTACAATTGGGGCCCGAGAAGATTAATTTGTACATTGTGGTATGAAAACTTCCATCAAAACATGTTACAACAAAACAAGGCAAAATACACTGTATAAGAACACGGTAACTGGCATTTAAAGACGTGGCATGTTTAAGTGTGGCTACTTGGTGAATTGGCTCCCAATTGCTAACTGGCCCAACCAAGCATGTCAACAATTAG